ATGGGTTTGACAATCTTTTGAATATAAGGAAAATTTGAGACTAATTTAGATATTGTTATTTAATTCTTTATAATGTTAGAAAATTATTTTCAGAAGGGTTAATTATACTTATGACCCCCTCAACTATAACCTTTTTTTACTTTGCCTCTTAAACTATTGAATTTTTTATATTGTCTCTTTAACTACTTTGATTATTTCACTCTACCTCAATTACAAATGTTTGTTATCTTTTTAGATGAAAATTATTGACGTATCAATACAAAGTAAACAAAATTGTATAAAATGAAATAACGTTTCTTTAAATATATAACGAATGTTAATAATTAGGACAAAATAAAATATAAAAAACATAATAATTGAGACGATAATATAAAATAATCATAGGTAGAAGGATCAAAGGTATCAATCTTTAAAACATGCACGTCAATACCTTCACAAGTTGTAATATGTCAAATGTTTAGAGTTGGGCTCCGGCATAATCTATAAAATAAAGTATAATATAATTTAAATTTTAAAAAATAAATAAAATGACTTTTATTTTTTGCGATTGAGATCTATTTAAATTTTATTTTAAAATTTCAACGACTAATATTAATATTTCAAATTTAATAGAAAAAATAGGTCCGTAATAATGTATTGGGGATAATTTTTTAAAAATACTTTTATAACTTATAATTTTTTATAAGTACTTTAAAGAAAAAAAAAAGTAGTGTTTGAAACTACTCCCCACCACCATCACTACTAGCACCACCGTCACCCTACCTCCACTATCACAATCACCACTATCACTACTACCACCGCTACCACACTGCCCCCACTATCACACCACCACCTCTACCACAACAACAATCGCCACCACCACTATTACTGTTGCCACTCCTCCACTCACTGTCATCTCCATTACCACCACCCCCACTACCATCACTACCACCACTACCTCTTCTACAACAACCACCGCCATTGTCGTCGCCACCCCATCATCATCACCACTACTACTATCATTGTCACCCCACCCCCACCATTGTCACCCCCCCCCACGACCACCACACCCCACCACCCTACAACCATCGTCATAGCTACCACTACCGCTATCGCTGTCACCACCCTACCTTCACCACCGCTGCCGCCACCTTACTACCATCTCCATTGTCCCACAATCACCCCTATTACCACCAACCCCACCACTACTATCACCATTGCCACCCATGGTTGCGATTATCACAATCGGTCGTCATCACCCATCACAATTATCACTGTCTTCCACCATCATCACTGTCGCCCACCACCACAACTATCACTCGCCCCTATCACCACTCCTATCCACCACCATAACCATTGCTCGCCCCCACTATAATCGGTGCTTAAATTCTTTTATATCTCCTCTATCTTTGTAATTTAATTTTGACTGTGAATATAATATGTTTATTGTTGATTTTTTTTTATTATTCTGTGCATTAAGGTATGAAAAATAACTAGTAATTTTATACACGATCCTGAAACCTAATTTGATATTAGCACAGGATTAAAAAAATTTTGAATTTACTCTAGCTGGTTTGAGTGATAAATAAGTATACTTGTCAACCCCGACAAATAAATAAAATGACACATTTAACTAAACATGACACAAACTTATTCAATATAATTTATACACAAAATAAATTTATCAAATACATAATTATAAATAGAAAAAAAAATTAAATAAATTTTAACATAACACCCAATTAGGGCTGTCAAGTTTTGACACGACACGTTAACACAATACGAACCGAACACGAAATTAAGAAGTCGAACACAAAATTAAACGAGTTAATGAGTTAAAACAGGTCAACACACTTAAACACGAAAAAAATTATGTCGGATTCATGTCAAAATCAGGTTGACCTGATTTTGACCTGATTAACCCGAATATTTTAAACAGGTTGACATAATTCAAATATGAATCCTATCTAACCCATTATAAACCCGTTTATGACAGTATAGTTTGCTTATTATGTATGAATAATGTGATTTTAACATTATTACTTATTAGTTTTTACTTATACTAAGATAATTGATAGTATAATTCTTAACATTATTATGACAGTATATTAGTATAGTTTTTATTTTAATTTTTTAATTAAAACTTGAATGCATTTTAGTTAATTTCATTGATAATATGTGATATATTATTTGTAAAAAAATTATTTAAAATTTTGGATGAATGATTGAATGATGTGTTTTAATGGTAATGAATTGATGTGGAAATAAGTTATGTGTGTTAAATAAGTCTATATTATGTGTGTTAAATAAGTTAAACAGATCATGTTATGTGTGTTAACTCGAACATAACTTGTTTATTAAACGTTTTAAATAGATCGAATTCGGGTAACCCGTCTAATTTTCAGGTCAAATTAATGTTTACACATATCGACACAATTATTAAAACATGTCATGTTTGATTTTTAAAATTTTTGACACAAATTTAAAATTAACTACACAATTGACACCCCTACACACAATCATTGCCGATCGGTGAAAAGTGAAAAGCGAAAAGCGAAAAGTGAAAACTTATTTGAGTGACTAGGGCCATTTATTTATTTGTCAATTTAAAAAAAAAAAAAAGAAAAAAGGAAAATACATGAATGTACTTAAACCAACGTGCCTCTCCGAACACATGAAAACCGCACGTGTGTGATGACTTACAAGGATGTTCTTCTTACAGCCCAAGGCGTCATAACACAACTTAAGCCGTGTTTGGCCCGACCTCAATAACATAAAAGGATGAATGATATTTTGTACCCTAAAAGATTCTTTAAATTTTAATTTATATTTTAAAAAATTAAAATTCTCACATTATACCCTTAATCACATAAAAATGAAATAATCTAATTCAAAACTAAATGTCTTGTGTTTTTACTAATTATTTTTATTATATTGCTCATTATATTTGCTCAAGTGATAACAAGAACGAACTGTTAAACTTAAACGTTATGAGTTCGAATATTGACAACTTTTTAGGGTCACGTCATGAGAAAATTATTCTTCATGAATACTCTAGTCCTGACATGGATGACTTGTCTTTAACTGAATCAAGAAGAAGATTAGTCGAAGTGCGCGTAAGTTAGTTTGGACATCCCTGATCGCTGAATTAAAAAATATATATTATCCTATTTTGATACATAACTATTTGCATAATAGTCTATTTTAAATGTTTTCAATGAAAAGTTTTTGTTGAATTTTTTAAAATGAAACACATTGCTATTTTTTGTTTGATTAATGGTGTAATATGACAATATAAAAAAAATTGGGGATATAAATTAAAAGTACAAAAAATATTTGGAATGCAAGGTGTCATTTGCCCTAACATAAATAGTACCAGAAAAACAGAACCATCAACGATGCAAGAGGCAAATTGGGGTAAAATCATATCGTAATTGAGATACGACCCAGTATCAATCACCTTAATTCGGGTAAATTTCTCATTCTCTCTTGGTCCATTGCTCATTTCGCTACTTGGGTTTAGATTTTTCGTCAAGATATCGATAGGGTTTCGATTTCTTGTCTTAGTAATTGCTTCAATTCTCTCTGATTCATGTGATCTTTAGCTACTGAAGTATTTTTATATCTGCTTAATTACTTCTGGGTTCTTAGTTGCTTGATTCACTTTTGGGTTTTTCGTTTTTCATTTTAATTTCAATTGGGTTTAATTAATTCCGGGAATTAAAGTTTAGATTTTGGAATTTGTCTGCTTCTTGTTTCTCTTTCTTTCTCTTGCTCTGATTATTTATTATACACGGAGCAATTTTTTAGTATTTATTTGGTGTAGTTTGTGTGATGATCGACAGAATTAAGTTTGATTTCGTATTTATATGATTATCTGAATTTCAAGAACCATGCCATATGTGTTCGAGCTAATTTTTATGTGGGCGTTTGTATATATTCTATTTGAATTGGAAATATTAGACATCTAATGTGAAAACTTTTTTTGGTAATTAGGGCCTCAGACCATTAGATTGTGACTGCAGCTTGATCGTATGCTTTGGGGTGAAATTTTGATTAAATTTCGGTGTTTTGTGAATGTTAGGTAGTTCAGATTGAAATGGTGGTCAATCAACAATACACTCGAATTGACACTATGGAGCTGAAAGCCCTTATATATCGAAAGATTGGGCATCGGAGAGCAGAGAAATACTTTGATCAACTCAAGAGATTTTTTAGTTTAAAGCTTAATAAGAATGAGTTTGATAAGTCTTGCATTAGAACCATTGGGAGGGAGAATTTGTCTCTTCACAATTGCCTTATTCGGTCCATTGTTAAAAATGCATGTGTTTCTAAAAGTCCCCCCTTAAAAGTTAGGAAAGTAGAAGGGTCCCTCAATGTTAAAATTGCAAATGGTTATCAGAGAAATTCTCTTCAATCAGCCTTTCCTCCATCCCCCCGTAAGGGGAGATCTCCCGTTCATAGGGATCGCAAGTTTCGGGAGCGTCCTAGTCCTCTTGGGCCGCTGGGGAAGTCCCCCAGTATTACAGGTGATGAAGCTGTCACTAGGGTACAAGAGCAGCAGCAGAGTGCCACAGAATTGCATTCACTTGGAAGCAGACCCCCTGTTGAAGTTGGATCCGTGGAGGATGGGGAAGAAGTTGAACAGTTTGCTGGAAGCCCAAGCATACAGAGCAGAAGCCCTGTTACAGCGCCTCTTGGTATATTTGTGAACATGGGTGGCACCCGTAAAACTCTTTGTAATGGATCTGTCCAAAATTTTCACCCTGAGACCTCTCAGAACTGTGGCGAGTTGCCTGATTCTAGATCTTTAAGGAATCGTTTGCAGCGGAAGTTGGAGATGGAGGACCTTAGTATGTCTATGGACTGTGCTAACCTATTAAATAATGGTTTGGATGTGTTTTTGAAGAGGTTGATTGAACCTTGTATAGCACTAGCTGGGTCAAGGTGTGGAAAAGAGCATGTTAGACAATTTAATGGTCAGATTATGCCTGGTTTGGATGGGATATTACATGGGAGGCACACACAGAGACCTCTCAAACCCATATGTGCATCTATGTTGGATTTTCATGTCGCAATGGAGTCAAATCCTCGTATATTGGGAGAAGATTGGTCGATACAACTCGAGAAGATCTGCTCTCGTGCATGTGAGTAATGAAAAGAACCTACAGTTGGTGCATTTACCAAACAACCCGACATTGGCGGGAGTAAGGGAAAAGAATTCCAAGTTTCGTCAGTCAGAAGATTCACTCTTACATGAATCTTGACAGCCACCGTCAAAGCAGTAGCCACAAGCAGTACCAAGGAATAAGTTGTGTGTACTGTAGTAAGTTTTGGATTAATTTGTCAGGTTGCATTTTAAATGTCAGCATTGATTATTGTTGGGGATGGGAGCATGATTATACGGTCAATTTACAGATTTAGATACTATTTAGAACCTCAGTCTTGAGAGGTCAAACAACTTTCAACTCACAATTGTAGTTTGAGATGTTTCAATTTTTGCATTAGATAAAGCATTATCGATTTCCAATTGGGTTACACATAACCAGGGTCAAAAACTATAGAATTTGATCTGAAATCAACTGTTTTTTTTATTGATGTATCGGTAAACTGTTTATTTTTCCTTGATGCTCATATGGGGCTCTCGTTTTGTATCTGTAGAATGTTCCTTTTAAGCACATCATATATTCTCTTGGAAGAAATCCTATTCTATTTCCTTCATTGCATGTGATATACACTTTAGAGTTGTCTTTTTCTTTCTTTCTTTCTTCTTCTTCATTTTTCTTTTTTATTGTCTATGAGTGGAGATTCCCAGATGCAGTCCTTGCCTCCTTGAGATGACTTCTCCCTTGAAGTTGAAGTGAACTCATGTTACTCTTATTGTTACAACGATAGCTTAAGTGATAGCTTAAGTGAAGACAAGGATGAACCGTAAATACAGAAAGAATTTGTCCTTCATGAATACCCTAATCTCAGCGTGAATGACTTATCTTTGACTAAATCGAACAAAGAATTAGTCGAGGTATATATAAATTGATTTAAACATCATTGATCATTGATATAATGGACGTGTCTTTGGNACTCTTATTGTTACAACGATAGCTTAAGTGATAGCTTAAGTGAAGACAAGGATGAACTGTAAATACAGAAAGAATTTGTCCTTCATGAATACCCTAATTTCAGCGTGAATGACTTATCTTTGACTAGATCGAACAAAGAATTAGTCGAGGTATATATAAATTGATTTAAACATCATTGATCATTGATATAATGGACGTGTCTTTGGCTAGAGTTACTTAGTCCTCCTTACACAAAACATAACAACGGTCAAGATTATTTAGATATAACGGTTTATATTACGATATAAAGTTCATCCTTTTACCAAACAGTTTACATTCAAACTTTTAACCATGATAACAAAAACCGTGTTTTGAACGGGACACTCTATTTTATAATATTGTTGATTCCTTGCAACAAGAATGTTCAGCGCAAAGATTGAACTTGATCTTCTCAAGCTCGTTATTAGCACACTTAGTATTGCTTGTAAACTTAAACTGCTTCAAGTTTGCTGCAGTTACAATACACAATGTAGAGATATATATAAAAACTGCTATGTATATAGTCTGTAATGATTTTCAACACCATCTATGCATCTTCAGCATCCAAAGTCGTAGGGCACCAACCCTTTCAGTTCGGGTCCAGAAAGTCTGTTGTTCTCATAACTGAAAATAAAAGGAAAAATGCAAAAAAATGAGTTAGATTATCAACATGAGTCTGCATTAAGTTATTCCCATAGAAACAATTTGAGAACACTCTCAAGCACAGGGCTTCAACAGAGAAGTGCTGGGAATGAAAATTGAAAATAGAAATGCTAACGCAAAAGAAAAAAAAGGGGTACGGCAGGCTCTGTCTATAAGAGGATGGGCTTCTATCCTATTCCAGTAAACTTCACATATATCTTTTTATATCTCTCTCTCTCTCTCTCTCTCTCTATCTCTCTCTCTCTCTCTCTCTCTACAGGGATGTAAATCTTTCAAATTGTTCAAATTTCATACACAAGATTGTTTCGTCACCAGAAAGTTGTAACTTTCCAGTTTTCATCATACACTGTTTTACAACCATCATAATGGAAAAGGACTTTCCAACACTAAGTTCAAAGGATGATCCATTATGATGACCACAAGAACGAGCTCACAAAGAAGTCTTCCTAAAGTGATAAAAAGTTTCATGAGACCCGGGGAAAAGAATTTCCTATAAGAGATCTTGATGCCAACAAGACTCGGCATAAGCTAACAGTATCTCAGATTCAAGCTCGACAATATTATACACCTCAACCTCCTCTACAACATCTCTACACAATTCCTCAACAGTAAGGTGACTTAGATTCAATAGCAGTCATGACTTCAAAATTCCCTTCTTCCTATGTACGATATTATTGAATTCTGTGGAAAACATTTCTTTCAGTTCTAGCTGGATTAAAAATACAGAGAATATAAGGGGTCATGGTTAATGTGCAAAGAATTACAGGCAAAATCTAGGCACGTTATCGATTTGATCTAAGCATTGCTAAGGAAACATTTAACTGCTTAGTTAATCTCACATAGCAAGATTAAAGAACAAAAATGTTAGACTTCATAAGCACCTATATAGGTCCCCTAGAAGGATGAAGAATGTAATAATGGTACCTTTCCATAGGAAAACTTCCGAAGGGGCCATCAACTGGAATTGTTCCACAAAGATCATTATTAGAAACATCACTGCAACATTCAAGATTCAGAGTATAACATAACACAGAAATCAAAAGGAAATAACTCTATCCAAAAATAAACTCAAAACTTATGAATTGTTCGTAACACGTACAAAACTTTGAGGTTGGAAAGAGTAGTAAGTTCCCTCGGAATTGATCCTGTTAGCTTGTTGTCATTTAGCCGTCTACACCATCAAATTACAGACACAATCATATCAATCAAGGATTATATCAAGTGGTTTAGAATATGCATCTTTTTAACATATGGCATCTGAGAATCAATATACTTACAGAAATCTAAGAGACTTTAATTTGGCAAACGACTTTGGGATTTTTCCCTCAAATCTATTGGCATATAAGTCCATGCTAATGAGGTTTTTCAAGTTACCCAACTCCATTGGGATTTTCCCTCCAAAGTTATTCCTATAAAGTTCCCTGCAATCCATCAAAAAATTCATCCTTGTCACTGGAAGAACTTATACGAACGATACTAACTAAACTAATGCTCTGGTTGATTGGTGAGAAAACGTAGGAAAAGTAGAAAATTAAATTTTGGATCATTGATGAAACAGAATTTATGACCAAAAGAAACAAAAAGCTGCCAGAAAACAACATTGAACATGTGATTCAGAAGAGTTATGCGAATTATACCAAATTTTCTGACATAATTAATCATTGGATTAACAATGGATCCTAATATTGATTGGGATCCGCCGCCAACCCAATGGCCGCAATGAAACCAAATTAGGTTCAAATATGATTATTGGGTTCTATACCCTTTTCTTTTGTGGTTTCCTATCAGATGTTTCTCACCAACCAAACAGAAAAGGTTATTCAGAAAATTATTAGAACACAGTAACCAAATCAAAGAATTATGGGAATACAAGTATTGTAGGTGCTTAAGTTCACCAAGCTCCGGACCCAAAGATCCAGAAATGTTAGAATTGGCCAAGTCCCTGTAATTGAAATAAAGAGAAAATAAACAAAAACAAGAATCAGAAAACAACCAGAAAAAAAAAAGAAATTGAAGTAAAAACAAAGACATATAAATAAGAGTGAAGATCTTACAATCGAACAACATGATTATTGGAGTCGCAGGTCACATGAAACCAAGTACAAGGATTGACAAGAGTAGGGTCCCAGCTCTGCAGTATATTGGTGGGGTCAGAGAGTCTGCTTCTCAAAGAGTGCAATGCATTTCCTGAAAGCAAAAGAATACAAAATAACAACACGGGTAATATCAGTTCATAAGAAATTCAAACAAAAACCTTAAAATAACCCCCCAAAAAAAGGATTGTATGAACTGAAAATTGGAACCCTAGAGAGTGCAAGTTCTTGTAAGTTTAAAGGGAATTTACCTTCAGAGTTGGTGGAGAGGGTGGGTGAGAGAGAGAGGAGGATGGGGAGGAGGAAGAAGGAGAACAGGGATGGGGAAGCCATTGTAGAGAGAAAAACAGAGAGATTAGAGGCAATGGTATTGGTGAAGCTCAAAGGTAAAAGTTAAGGGAAAATGTCCACAAGGGGGAGAGAGAGAGAGAGTCAGCTAGGGGGCAAAGTAAGTGGAGTTGAGTCAATATTGGAAGGAGGTGTTCAGTCAGAGGGTAGAAGTCACGCATTGGTAGTGAGGGCTTTAGCGTGTCAAGTGGGCCCCCAGTCAAAGACTTGGACTTTCTAGGTGGGAACTGGGAAACTGGGGATCAGTGGGGTCCACTTCCTCCATCTGACACGCAAGGCTCCCACCACCGGAAGAGAAAAAGGACGAAAGGGCAATATTATTTTAGGATTTAATAATTATGATAATGAATTTAAATAGGGATTAATATTATTTGGATTTAAAATTTTAATTTAATTTATTAATTTAATGATATAATTTTATTAAAATAATTAAATTAACATCAAATTTTAATATTTGACGAACCCCACAATCAATTGTATAATGACTTAGATCCCGATAAAATTGCTTTTTAAATATTAAATGAAATCTATTATCAATCTAATAATTATAATACATTAAAATTTTGAGTTAGTTTTTAATTTCACTAGTATTTACCTATAATAACATAATTCGACTTTATTTAGATTTATCGAAAATTACATGCTTGATACTCGATAGTAATCAACCCTCATTATTTTATCCACTATTTTTGGAAAAAGTAACATGTTATGTATTGTGAATTGTTCCTCCCGTAAAATTAAGACACAATTTAGAGGGGTGAGTAAGTTAATTTAATTTTATAATTAAACAAACATTAGTTTTATTTAACCTACATACCTCAATTGTCAATTCGAAGCATAATTTGTCAATTAAGCAATGAACCTTTTCTACGAACCCAAAAACTTCATAATGTAGATTGATGTTATAAATATATATCAATTATCGATTAATACTCAATCTCTCACGGCAACCACAATTAAAGCAAATTCACTCAAACTATTTTTATTGATTGAAAGATAAAAATTGATGAGCCCAAATTTAATTGGGTCAGACTTAATAAATCCAACAAGCCCAAATCAGCAAAAAGACTGGTCAATCTCAGTTCATGAATTCGATCCAACTTGAGGATCAAGATTACCTTAATTGTACTTACTTTTTTNCAAGCCCAAATCAGCAAAAAGACTGGTCAATCTCAGTTCATGAATTCGATCCAACTTGAGGATCAAGATTACCTTAATTGTACTTACTTTTTTGTAGCTATCCTCCCCGAAGATCTAGTGTCATCACCCTCATGTCACCACCTCAACCAAGGCTTTTGTACTTATAAATTGTAAGTCTTTTCTACATGAGAGGACATATTGAGCTCTGTCTTTACACCTCTCTACACACACGTAATTTTTCTCTCTCCTAGCTATTAAATCTCTCTCAGAGTTAACCATTGTTCTCTCTCTTGTTCACCTTGATTGATCAATAAAGAGCTCCCTGGTCATCGATTTTGTTTTCCAAAAGTGGAGTAGGTCATCCAGACCGAACTACTATATATCTGTGTGTTGACTCAGTATTTACATTATTGTTATTAATTATTTTATTTATTGTCCGTTAATTACACCTTATCACACACTTGACTATTGATCTTGCACGAGACTATTTTGTGCATCATCAAAAACAATTAAATTATCAATCACAAAGTGTACATGTGTGCATCAATTACAAATGCATAAGTAAATTTAAAGCAATAAGAGATGCAAATAATTGTTGGCGCTCAAACCCAATTGAAAAAAGTTATGGTGAACCACTCGGGATTCGCCAAAATCTAATACACTATTTGAAGGTCAATCTACAAATATTGAGGAGGCTTATATCTTAACTAATAATATGGTTATATGCTCATTGTGTTTCAAGAGAGCTCTCTACCGAAAGTCCATTTTTATGAACTCACCACCGTGTGGATTGTTTAGGTGTCAAACAATCTTCTCCACTAAGATCCTCAGAATGCTACTCTCCAAAATGGTTTTGGGTGAATCTCTAACCAAAATCTTAGTCTCGTATGGATTTAGGATTTATGGTGGAACAATGTTACATTGACTTAAAAACTAGANATATTATTTTAGGATTTAATAATTATGATAATGAATTTAAATAGGGATTAATATTAATTTAATGATATAATTTTATTAAAATAATTAAATTAACATCAAATTTTAATATTTGATGAACCCACAATCAATTGTATAATGACTTAGAACCCAATAAAATTGCTTTTTAAATATTAAATTAAATCTATTATCAATCTAATAATTATAATACATTAAAATTTTGAGTTAGTTTTTAATTTCACTAGTATTTACCTATAATAACATAATTCGACTTTATTTAGATTTATTGAAAATTACATGCTTGATACTCGATAGTAATCAACCCTCATTATTTTATCCACTATTTTTGGAAAAAGTAACATGTTATGTATTGTGAATTGTTCCTCCCGATTTATACACGTAAAATTAAGACACAATTCAGAGGGGTGAGTAAGTTAATTTAATTTTATAATTAAACAAACATTAGTTTTATTTAACCTACATACCTCAATTGTCAATTCGAAGCATAATTTGTCAATTAAGCAATGAACCTTTTCTACGAACCCATAAACTTCATCATGTAGATTGATGTTATAAATATATATCAATTATCGATTAACACTCAATCTCTCACGACAACCACAATTAAAGCAAATTCACTCAAACTATTTTTATTGATTGAAAGATAAAATTTGATGAGCCCAAATTTAATTGGGTCAGACTTAAAAAATCCAGCAAGCCCAAATCAGCAAAAAGACTGGTCAATCTCAGTTCATGAATTCGATCCAACTTGAGGATCAAGATTACCTTAATTGTACTTACTTTTTTGTAGCTATCCTCCCCGAAGATCTAGTGTCATCACCCTCATGTCACCACCTCAACCAAGGCTTTTGTACTTATAAATTGTAAGTCTTTTCTACATGAGAGGACATATTGAGCTCTGTCTTTACACCTCTCTACACACACGTAATTTTTCTCTCTCCTAGCTATTAAATCTCTCTCAGAGTTAACCATTGTTCTCTCTCTTGTTCACCTTGATTGATCAATAAAGAGCTCCCTGGTCATCGATTTTGTTTTCCAAAAGTGGAGTAGGTCATCCAGACCGAACTACTATATATCTGTGTGTTGACTCAGTATTTACATTATTGTTATTAATTATTTTATTTATTGTCCGTTAATTACACCTTATCACACACTTGACTATTGATCTTGCACGAGACTATTTTGTGCATCATCAAAAACAATTAAATTATCAATCACAAAGTGTACATGTGTGCATCAATTACAAATGCATAAGTAAATTTAAAGCAATAAGAGATGCAAATAATTGTTGGCGCTCAAACCCAATTGAAAAAAGTTATGGTGAACCACTCGGGATTCGCCAAAATCTAATACACTATTTGAAGGTCAATCTACAAATATTGAGGAGGCTTATATCTTAACTAATAATATGGTTATATGCTCATTGTGTTTCAAGAGAGCTCTCTACCGAAAGTCCATTTTTATGAACTCACCACCGTGTGGATTGTTTAGGTGTCAAACAATCTTCTCCACTAAGATCCTCAGAATGCTACTCTCCAAAATGGTTTTGGGTGAATCTCTAACCAAAATCTTAGTCTCGTATGGATTTAGGATTTATGGTGGAACAATGTTACATTGACTTAAAAACTAGATTTGATAATAACAACTATTGATTTTAATATGGGTCCCAACATTTATTATAACTCACTACATATACAATGGTTATAATTATCAAATCTAATTTTTAAGTGTATGTAGATGATCTCTAAAGGCATTAGAGGCTAAATTTTGGCTTACAAAATAGATACCATAGCTTATTAAAACTTTCCCCTTTTTATAGGCATGGAACTAAGTAAATTGAAATTCGTGCACGACTGCTCAAGTAGTGGGAAGACGGTGATTGTTGGAATGAAAAAAAAAATCGTAGGAGAAGAGTAGTAACCACTAGAGTGACCTCAGAACAGCTCATGCAGCCCAAGAGCAACCCAAAGAGAGGTCTATATTGCCCAACTCGTGAGTTGTTGTCGATTTTATCCTTAAGTATTTAAAGATCACTTTAGCTGAAAACAAGTGAGTATAAGATGACCTCTACCAATTTTAATGTCAAAAACCAAGTAAAAACTTGTCCCTTTGAGTATTAAATGGTGTTGCTCAAGTGGAGTCCAATGAATGACTCAATCTATTTATCCCCTAATCATCCTAAGCCTAATGAATTAAACCAACAATTTCATAGGTCTCTAATATCATGAAAATGCATCAAAGTGATTTTAACGTGACATTGTAGCTTGATCTCTTTCTCTTCTTTGTCGCTTACAGATCTTAACACACTATGGTGATGCCAATAATGTAGAAAAGTGGAGCTAACAAAACTCGAATAATAAGCCAACCAACTTGGGAAAATTGGTTGAGAGGAAACACGTGTAAACAGTGTTGTACTGTCCAAATTAAGAGTTAAAAATTCTTTAAAAAAAGCAAAAGAAAAAAAGTCACCTTATCCTTTTCTGTAGAAAACATAAAAAATAACAGTTATATTACGTCATTATTACCATCATGACTAACAAAAACGAAGCGTAGCAACCAAAATCAAAGAAGAGAAAGAGAAGGGAGCTTACTCTGCTTAGAGAGACGAGATCATAGTCTCAATCCTAACCTTATAGAAGGTCTTTTTTGGGGTATGCCTTCCTGGCTCGTCAACATCCAATAATAATCTAATATGTAAGCAAGTGGATCTCACTTAGTTTAGTATCTACCTTGTCCACCGTTGCACCCAATATTTACTCCCATTCTCTGCTGAATGTGACATTGCTTCCTTGATTTATTTTTATGCCGTAGGTTGTAGTTATTTAGAATAACAGAAAGTGAGAAAAATATGGAAGAAGAAGAAAAAGAACACAAAATCCCTAGATCAATTCAACCCTGTCAAAAGATAACAACCCTTTCATTCCTTTCATACGTAGGGGGCCAACGGTAGAGTGGTTTGACTTAAGATGGTTTTTCTAAAGGGCAATTGCAAGGAACATTATAAGAAATCAGATAAAGAACATGACATATTCTACATATAAAGCATGGAGGGGAGAAAAAAAAATATACAGAAAAACTCATTATGACCCCTTAATTGCAAGCAGGAGAAAGCTTGTGTATTGTGTCTGCCACAACTAACAATTGTTTCCCATACACAGAACAAAATTACCAGAGATTTTTCTGCAACTTGTGTATTACAGAAGCCTCAGGAAAACAGAATCAACAAGTGAAATAATGTCTACCTCACACCTCTTCCACAGCTCTCCTTCTTTCCTCTTCTTCAGCTTTAACCCAAGCAGCCTGAATAAAATGAAGAACCGAACCCCACCAAAATTGTTAAAACACAAAATAAGTTGCTATGTGGCAGTATATTTCAAAAAATAGCTAAACCAAGCATCCAAAATGGTACAAGGGATTAAAAACAATAATGGGAATAGGGATATGGCCTCAAATTTACTGAGCTAAAGGATAAAACTTGCCTTGTCGCGTTCAAGCCTAGAAATATGTGGACGGATAGAGTTTCCCAAACTCAAGCCTCCCCATGCTTCTTGTAACTCTCTCTGCCTTGCTTCTCGGAGAGCAACTGAATGCTTAACCCGATCATCTGGCTGCTGAGCAGCATTCATCTTTTCCCTCTCAAGTCTTGACTTATGTTTCACCAAAACTTGGTCCAAACTACCTTCACTCTTCTCCAACTGTATGTTTGCATCCCTTCTCTTCACCTTCATCACCACTTCTTCCTTTGTACCAAGCTCCATTTTTTCTTTCTCCAGTCTGGAGACATGCTTTACCATAACTTCATCCAAGCTTCCATTCCATGCGACTCTGTTTCCTCCTGGTTTTTTTCGGGACTGCAGATTTTCGAAGTCACTCGATGACTTTGCTAGCATCTTTTCCCTCTCCAAGCGATGTACTGGCTTGAGTAGGATTTTGTCCAGGCTATTTTCTGCATCATTGCCTTCATCATTTCCAATCAAAGACTCACCTGAGGAGTCTCTGGTATTTTGCAGGGGCAGAGTTGGTGTGACTTCTTTTTGCTTCCCATGGAATTCAACATTCATGTTCAGATCAATATTTTCTTTTTCGATACGGCCTCTATCAGAAGTGATTAAAGAGGTTTTCTTGCTCAAGTCATTAACCTTACCTCCTTCAATTAGCTCAATTCTCCTCCTGTTCTTTGCTTCTTGGACCTCTTTTTCAAGTTTTGAGACATTCTTCACCAGAAACTTATCTAGACTAGGGACTTCTGAAACATCTTGATTTGTGTGGCCCATTCCACCATTACAAGATATTTGTGATTTCTTATGGTCCTTTTCAAACAGCTGCCCTGAATTCTTCTTCGCCTCTGCAATCTCCTTCTCAAACTTAGAAGAATGCTTCATAAGAATACTTCCCAGGTCCTGATCGGTGTCAGATAAACTCATAGTATCACCTAAGCATGCCTTCTCATCATCTGATTTATCTGGCTTCTCATCAGTTCGTTCCCTGGCCTCGTTGTTTCTAGCATTCTTGGCGTCTTGCACCTCTCTTTCAAGTCTTGTTAAGCGCTTCACCAAGAACTTGTCTAGACTAGGAATTTCTGCCTCAATATGATTCCTTCTCATCTGTCCCTCAACATTAGAGTTCCTTGCTGTTCCAGCTCCAAAGGAAGACATTCTTCTGGAAATGTTACCTGATGAGACAGAGGTATAATCGGCTGCAGATCCTAAATCAAGCTGCTTGCTAATTTCTGCTTCAGCTAAAGCAGCATTTAAACCACAGGTTGCAACGATAGTGGCGAGAGAAGCAAGTTCATCTTCTTGCAAATGTTTCAGCCTTTCAAGCATCATATCAACAAGCTTTGTCAAATTAAACTTTTCAGACACCTGCCTCTTTTTGTATTTACTTTTGGAACCATCCATCTCAGGATTTAAGTTTGCAGAGCTAAAACCATCCTTGTAAGATCCTGATTCAAGTTCTGACCCAGTATCTGATTCACAGTCTGAAGAGAATTCGGATATATCCTGAGTATTTTCATCTGTATCAGGGTTCTCACTGATTTTTCGGAGCAGTTCTTTAAACTCATCTCTATTCATGGAAGAACAATTGGCAAGCCTAATAAATGCAGTTTTTACTGCTGTAGCTACCTGTTTATCCACCTCAAATGCAGTTTCAAATGATGCCTTAACAGTATGGGTAGTAGATCCTCCTCCATCAGTAGATGACATTTTTATTTCATAGTGCTTTTCAGAGCAATCTGGTACATCATACAGGATCACCCCACTAGACGTTGCAGCCTCAAAAGCTTCAGCTGCACTTTTTTCTGCTTTCAACAGCAGAGCTTCTGCTTCCTTACTGTCTATCCTGTGAAATAAAGCTGAAGAATCTGAGAATTAACAAACCAGAAAACATACTTTTTGTATTCACACTGAAGAACATGCTTACCTGGCAGCTCGAAGTATTCGACACCAGGATGCTTCCACCATTGCAGCCTTACGAGCCTCCATTGCCTTGTGTGCAGCCTCTCTAACTGCAATTTTTTCTCTCAAGACTTTTGAGTAGTGAAGATTTGAATCACCCAGAGTCTCATCAAGAGTTGAATTCATGCCACCAACTTCCTGCATTAATTATTTTAGTTATTGATTGCCCTCTTAAACCTTGGTCATAAACATAAACCTGATAAACAAGAAAAATGAGGTATATGAAACTACCTGTAGCAATTTTATTTTCCTTTTCAAGTAGGAGTCCACCTTTTTGCGTGGGAACCAGTTGAGAGGTGAAGTTTTACGATGAGGGGGCTTTTTAACTTGTGATGTGAATTTTTTTAGAGCAGTCCCATTAGACTGGCCAGCCTCTTTCAATCCCTTGTTCTGCATTATTCGAGAAAATGAATGAGCAAAAGACAGAATTGAGGATCAATAGTTTGTAAAAATAAAAACTAGAAGACAGAAATAACACATCTGATTGTTCCTCACTTTACAAACCAATAGATACTATATGATCAATGAACCAGTACAGTACCTAACTTCAGCTTTCAGCTATTTTAAATTTACCCAGCAAACCCCATCATAATAAATATCAAAGTCATCTGTTTCTCACCATAACAGAGAGAGAGAGAGAGAGAGAGAGTTTTCCTGAGGAAGACGTATGCCAAAGATTATTGTACTGTTCAAATATTCTGTTTCTCACCATAATCACATTCAGTACCACTAAAGTCATCAGACTCATCTCTCAATTACGCAACAGAATCGTATGAACTCTGATTATATGTGCGGCACCAACATAACCAGCATTCTCCTACCAGAAGATTAATATATGAATGAACAAGTAAATGAAATACAAAAATTATAAATCACCAACTGCAAAAAGACAGAAAAATGGTTCGAGATAAAACAAACTATAGTGGAAAGTGGAATATTTTTTGAATCATGGTCTTTCAAGTATACCGCTAATCAGATTGTCTAACAGATCCGTTAAGCTTGTCTAGAGATTAGCAGATGAGTGATAAAAAAACCTTTTCACTAAACTAATGTGTGACCAACCATAAAACTAGAACTAAGCGAACCACTAAAAGAAGTCTTCAACCATCAGTGGAAGACTGTTCTGTTTAACTCAAAATAATTGTGAATGCACTGTCATTTGATGTAGCTAGTCAAAGAAGCAAGCCTAAACAATCATCAAGCGGGTCTGGTTGAAATCCGCCCTTTTTTATTCATATGGGACAAGCTAATCTTTGTCATGTTTATGTATACCACTCTCTGAAAAGTCATGCGGGTCATTAATTCCCTTAAGGTGTAAGTATTAATCCCTCGTGCTAACAAGGTAACTGATACCTGCTTAGTTTATAAACTCCAATTACTAGTCTTCTATCAGCCAGTAATAAGCCATAGTGCTGTTCCAAGGAAAGGGAAAACATAGTAAAGGAGAGGTGATCCATTTTAAAAGCCATGATCATTAGTGGATTCATCATATAATAATGGCAAGTGAGCGATTAATCAGAAAAAATTGAGACCTCAAATCCAGTGCTAGTGGTTTGCAACTAGCTTATGTCAAGGTATTAGAAGCACATGTTTCTACTTTCTTTAGCAAAAATGAAAAAAAAAACAATAAATTAGCAGAAAGTCCTCCTTTCACAACAAAAAACACAGCCAATTTTCTTGTTTCCAGGTAGGCATATTGGATAAAAACATTATAAATCAAATAGAATGAGTGTTTGCCTTTGCAAATAGTGACAATCTTCAGCAATAGTGTGGTCCATAGAGCACCCTGCCCTGTTTTCAGATCAAGGATGGAAGATAGCTAGTGTGATCCACAGAATATCATGGCCAGTTTACAGACCAAGATTTCAAAGATAGGTGCTTACCGGAAAACAACCATACTCTTGATCTGAAGTCGTCAAGTGGGTCTCTCCATTCCGGATCACCCACCATGAGGCCCATTGTAGTCAAGTGGGTCTCTCACAATTACATGGTGGGTGATCTAGAATTGAGGGAATCAAGGAAATATGGTGCCAAAAAGGATGTAAGTCCGCAGGGAACCGAGGAAGTTTGGTTCATGGAATATGTGTTCATCAATCCAATTAAAGCAAACCTGACTAACTTGGTCAGTCAACTGAACTAGATGAGTTAGCAATGGAAGTAAAACAAAATTCACGAGTCTACAGGAAAACTCAGTACAGTTTTCCTAGAATTAGTTTGGAACTCAATCCCACATGCAACTCTTTCTGGATCATAATCAAAGAAGCATCCACAATATGTCCATGCCATTTCTGTCACTGACTCACTTTACATTCCGTCATTAATTTACCATGATTACTTGTAATAAATTACTTGCACAACTATTTCTCATAAGAGAATTTTATGTTTCCTTCGGAAGAAATTAAGATTTTGAACTCACAAAAAAAAAAAAAATACAGTAAAAAACAAATAAGGCATATATGAAAGCAACGGTAGAATTTATTAAGTACGTAAAAAGCCCCTTCTCAACAGAGAAATATAAAAAACAAGAAAAACCAAACCTTAACTAAACACGTAGGAATTCAGTGGTTAGGGTTTGTTGAAGAACTTGATACACAGCAAAGAAATGAAAATCTAACCTTGGAAACACTGTAGCAAGAAAATAATCTCCCAAGAAACACGCGCGCACACACACACTCGGAGAGAGAGAGTACCTTTCCGACCTTCGACGCCGACATTACAGACTCGCCTGCATTGTTCCCTGAATCAAGAAAGGTTTCTTTTCTCTGCTTCTCCATGCAACCTAAGTCCAAGCAACCCAGATCCATCTCCGGCAGATTTGAAACTCAATGCAGACTGTTATTCTCAAAGATTATACAAAGATGTGCGTGATCGCACAAACCAAAAAAGAATCGATTTATTGATCAGAAAATCTTGAAGATTGTATCTTCGTAGATTTTGAAGTGAATCAAGAAATCCACACAGAATCGTCGAATTGATTGAAATTCTTGAGGAAATCTTGAAGATTGTATTTTCTGTGAAGATTTTCAAGAGGACCGAGAAAGCCACATACAATCGACGAATTGATTGAATTCTTGAGTAAATTTTGAAGATTGTATTGGCGTGAGATTTTGAAGTGGACAAAGAAAATCAGAGAGAGAGATAGAGAAGAAAAGAACTGAAAGATATGACATGCGATTCTTGGGAGAGAAGGTGTTTGTTTAAATGGAAACTATCCGTTACAAGCAATTCGTTCGCTTCCAACGGTACTTTTTCCTTCCGAGGAGAGAATATCAGGTGGATCGACTTGCATGGATATCTCGGTTGAGCTGTCATGTGGGCCTGACACGTTGGCACACAAAATTTCTATCAACTCGGATAGACTGTAGGTCCCAAAAAAGAAAAAAAAAAAAAAAGTTTATGATGGCGGCCCCCACCCTTGGTGTCTCTCTACTGTGGTTAAAATTTAGCAAAATCTAAAATAATGAAGTTTGTTTTCTTTTTTTTTTTCAACTTAACAAAAAAAATCCTGTAATCTTTTTTTTATTGACAAATCATCGATCAGTGTTATAACTAAATCATCTAATTATATACAATAAATTTTACATGAACTCATAGGAGATACTATACCAATATGAAAATAGAATAAAAATGTATTAAAGAAAATTTCACTTCCAATTAACGGACTAACATTGTAGAGTTTAATCCATCACAACCATTCTCAAAGGAGTAAGATTTTCTACACAATATATATATTTTATTTATTTATTTATTTCTTGGTAAAACATATACCGTAAGTTCAAGTATAATCCATTGCATATAAATGTTCTCTAATTAATGATTGTCAATGTACTAAAAGTGAATGACATATAAAACAAAGTGAATAACAAAAAAAAAATAGTAATATTATTAAAATGACGTAATTTACTGACGTAATTTATATACTTAATCCATCACAACCTTTGAATTATAATTTACTATCAATTCAATGGTTATGATAAATTAAGTCAATAAATTATAGCATAAAATTAGGTCCAAGTTTTGATAAAAAAATAATAATAATTAAAGTAGCATTGCTCAAAAAAAAAAAGAGTGGATTCTACACTGCGTGGGCAATTGCCAACAAAAACTCGTATTTTGGGCACAACAACCATAAAAGTAAGGAAAAAAGAGAGAGAAGACCCACCATTTGTTTCTTAAAGATAGGAACTTATGTTGAACCCACCAAAGCAAACATGAATTCTAAAGAGTTTTTATGATGATAAAGATGGGGATGAAGTTTACCATTGTACATTGCAGAAAGAATACAGCAATGTCATTAATAAGTTTCCATACAATAAATTGTGAACAAAATTGCCTGACTAGTCCTCTTGATCTTCATCTCTGATCCATTTTGTAGCAACCCATTTCTCCCCTTTGATCACAGGACAGCTTCCATGAATAGATGTCTGCAGGGTGGGCAAACAATTTGTGTTATGATAACACATTTACCACAAATAAGAGAAAAGTAAGAATACTCTTGTTTCATTATCATCCTCATCGGTGCAAGGAGAAGCAAGGAATACTGGAAGGTGAAACAATTGATTCCGACTCTATCGACTTTAGCTCACAAAATATGCTTTTAGTTTTGGTCTGACTTCTTTGCAATGAAAGCATGAACAATCTGCTGATCCTGGTTTCTGCTAGGCAAGCCATGTGCAATTTGGTAAGATTGGGCAACGACACTTCAAAATACAGCAAGTACTGAAGCAATGAGTCTGATTTCTCCCTTAGCTGTGATAAGTAGTGATAAGATTGAGATGTTGGATGACTTCAAACTCTGGGTCATCAGAGTCTGATTTCAATCTATGCTCAAGGTCAATGCCTGCAGACTCTGTTTGCATCATTGGATAACTGATATTGCAGGACACTCCTATAGTTTTGAAATTCATTCCAACCATGGAGCTAAATTTGGAGAACAATCTGGCCAAAGAAAAATGAAATCATTCAGACACAAGAACTATTACCCGATCAATTGTTCCATTTGGAAACACCGAATAAAACAGAAGCCCGTCTCCTTGGCGTGGCTTCACTTTCAAGCCCATGCAACTTCTGTAATCAAAGCCTACACCCACGTCTGAACCATTCTGCACAAAAAAATATTATGACAGCTGACACGTTTATCAGAAGTGATAAGTATGGTAATACACTAAATCTTCTGATCTTACTTCCATGGGAAACATGGTTTCTCCACCTTCTTGCACATCAGATAAGTACAACAAGAATGAAGCAATCTGCAACAAGGTTAATTAGTTAGGTCCGAATGCATGCAGGTCCAAAAATGGCAAGATCTAATACAGTATGCAACTTCTGATTAGTCGAGTATGGTATGGATGTAACAGATTATAAGAATAGTACTGTTCAAAACAAAAAAAAGTGACCTTCCTATAAGGGATTTGGCCAGTAAACATGGAATGAAAAATTTGGTGACTATCCCTGAAGCATTTAACTTAGTATATGTGTGTGTGTGCTTGTATATTTGCCCGATGCCTAGTTTTATAATAATCATGTCATTTGTGCTCGCAAACGAGTATTATAATATGCACATCACATGAAGTTCAAGAGAAACTCAGCATCCATCAGGAGGTTGTAGAACTCACGTAAGGATATCTAGTTGTTTCTTAAAGAAATACATTGCAAAAAGTCACTACCACCATTGAAAAAAATCCTTGCTCCTCTTTTCACATAAATATCTGTTTACTCAATTTTCTTTTCTCTGTAGTGTTTGTTTCTGTTTTCTTTCAGGAGAGAGGTAACATTTTGATACAAAATGAAAAAGGTTGCCAAAGTTCAGGTGCTTCCAACCATCAAATCATTCCGATTGCAAGTAGTGTAACAACAGAAAAGTCGCTTTCCTAATGAACCATGACCAATGAAGATGCTCAGATGGTAATTACTCTCTGGCTTTTTTGTGGGCCATACTCAGCAGGGTTGAATGCATCATAATGAGAAACATATCTCTGCCCAATCTCATACCGCAGAATGTTGAATGCCTGCAACATGGTGATATGCCGCATTACTCAGACTATCTCAGAATTGACCTGTGATGAAAGATTGACTACTTCAACTTTGTAATGTGAAAAGAAAGAAATATGATTTTGATAAAACAAACTCTCAACAAAATTCAAGATAGTCCATTATGGAACTAGTACGCAATATAAGACATATTTCTTATACAATTCTGTCTATGCCATGATACCTAGGGATTAATCAAACATGGTTTCAACTGAACCCAAATGAAGAAAGAAAATATAAAATCCTAGATTAAAATTTGCAAGTCTCTCAATGCATGGTCAAGCATTACAATTACATTGACATCATGAATCTCAACTTATTCAACAAGATAGTATACAGAAATTTCAGTCTTCCTTTTCCTCCGCATATATTTTGTTTTTTTCATTAGAAAAAGGAAAAGTGCAAGTCTACTTAACATGGAGCAATATCAATGAAGTAAAGCTAATTTTTGTAGTTCAAAGTATTTAAGAGACCTTCCGGGATTAATTCAAGCACATCATAGAACTGTAAATTCCCAAAAAAGGAAAATGTACCTCTCCAAAACTCTTTGGGATCATCGTAACCCTAGCAATTTTTCTCTCAACAAAGTCCAAACTCCCACTTGTATCCTCTGATGCACCAATAAATGTACCTGAACTGTTGCCGTGAAAAAAACACAGGCCAAAAAAATCAACACTTACCAGCGCAACCATTCAGATAACCAACCTGTGTAAGTCTAAAGCACTCCCGTAACATGGCTAAAATACAGCAAATGCAGCATCACATCTCACGCAAAGTCTAAGCATTGCTGAATATTATTTTCCTTTTTACTCCTTTTATCTATTATTCCCATACCAAATCTGGACCACATATGATTGGGGTAGAAATTTCAAACCAGCATGTTATATCCCGTACAAAAACACAATTTTTATTCAAAAAAGGTGTATATATGTGTAAAGAATATTATAATGAAACTGGATATAAAAGAGGATTATTCAAGATCAAACGCAGAGTCTGAAATAAGGGTGACTTTTGTTTGAAAATAAATGGGTACCAAATAACAGGTAAAGAGGTAAGTGACTGATATGCTGCAACAAATAGATATAAGGGATAGAAACCTGATGAGTACTAAGAACAATTTAAGAAACAAAATAGAACAAAATTTTGCAGTCCTTGAACAACTGATCAGCATAACTGCGAACATGTGAATGAAGATTTCTAATATCCATTGCTAGGATGCCAGCTTAAGATAACACAGATTAGGAGGCAAAGATAGCCAGATGAGAATGGAAATAGAACTGCAGCCGACGAGTTTTGATAATTATGCAGACAGAAAAATTAAACCAAAATAATCATACAAAGAATCATGAGTGGGAAGATAAATATCTGGATCCACTCAGTTGTAAACAACCCAAAGTCAATGCATTAAATTTAATTTTCTTTCTTTATAACAGGTTATATTCCAATCACTGTCAGAATCCATAAGGATATTAGTAATATTATTGGTGCATAAAACATGAAAGGAAATGTATACAAAAGAGATACCTTGTTCTATCTCCCTTGGTGCTATCAGCAGTTTCCCCCTTTCGCAAAGCAAGGTTTGATGGTTTAAGCTTTGATCTTGCCATTTCAATTATGCTCTGGCATTGTTCTGCAGTTGCAAAATTTGGGAAATACAGAGCCCGCGGCCTCCAGCTCAAAACCTGTATTCAAAAGGTGGCCTGTCATTGAGGTAAACAAGGAGAAAATTTTATTTTACTCAATCCAGGAAAGAACCTATAAACACCAATTCTACAGTTATTGATAGTGACCAAGTTCAATGAAACCTTACCAACCTTTGATCAATCAATTTCTGACTTTATCTATTCGGGCATCCTAATATGGCCCGCCATTTTAAGTAGCACACCATATGTTGTTTTCCCGGGCTTTTTTATTCTTCTTTACCCTAATTTAGCTTCATAAATTAAGAACTGAACATTCATGGTGTTACACCTATAAGCCTATGGCTTAGGTTCTAAAATACGAGCAGTAGATAAAAGACATCAATCCTACCTGATACAGGCTCTTTGCAATACAAGATACCAATATGTTACAAGTCCATAAATTCGGAGCAGTGAAGTACTAAACAAATCAATTAAGCCTAGCCTAAAGCCTAATGTATCTGACATTGAATCTGTGAATTTTTGTAGAGTGGACGATGAGTATATGAGGGCAACATACAACCTATTTGGCAGAAGACCACTAATCACCTTCAATTCAAAACTGCCTACTGTAAAAGCAGTTCCAATTCAGATCCTCCAATCAGAACCCATCAACGAAAGGAGATCACTCATCTAGATCACTGGCATGATGTTCTTTTTTTTTTTTTTGATCTGAAAAAATGGGGGAGGGGGGCGAGCAGGTAGTGACCTCCTAGGTGTGACCAAGAGGGCCTCCCCTGATATGGAATGTTTGGTTAACAATAACTACAGACCCTTTTGGAGTAGCCCATTACCACGATTAGACCACCAGCTCCGGTGGTCACTGGCATGATGTTCAAATAAAGTAAATTAACACAAATTTGTGTCGTGGTTCTAACTACTAAATTATTAATAAGTGGTTCAAAAAGGTCGTTACCGATCACTGATAAATCCAACTTAAATTCGTGAAAGATAAAATGAGAAGGGTGCTCAAGGGACAAATTTAAAAAAAAAAAAAATCTGTTATAGAAGTATCAAACCTTCAGCCCCTATTGGCCTATAGCATCCCCCTTTAACATGGCATGCCAACGTTTATACTATATTAAATCGACAAACCTATTTAATCTCCATAATATTAAAAAATGACGCCGAAAAAAATATATATAAAATGACTGCCATCTGTAATAAAATGCAATTCAAACATCATTGTTGCAAAACCTCTAATTCTTAACAAGCCTAACAGTCAATCTAAATTAGTTATCATCTTTGCTTCATAAATAGTTGAATTTATATACATAACTCTGTAGACAAAAATATTATGAATTGGTTGGTCGACATGAATAATCTACCATCATCAATTTTTGAATCAACTCGAGCCACTAGCCACTCGTATACGAAGTAAACATAAACAAGGAAACTCAAAGAAGACAAAGAGGAATGATAAAGCACCTGAAATGGGATCGTATCAACCCGAGATTCACCCGTTTCTCCATGAGGCATCGAGTCATTCTCTTCCTCAACCGATTCTAAAAACCNGATAAAGCACCTGAAATGGGATCGTATCAACCCGAGATTCACCCGTTTCTCCATGAGGCATCGAGTCATTCTCTTCCTCAACCGATTCTAAAAACCAACGCCTCGATCGAACACCGCTAGCATCCTACACACAAAATCAACAATTAATTAGCAGGTACACGCGCGAATACCTATATGTCTATATATATACATATATATGTATATATAGACATAGAGAGAGACAGAGAGAGACCTGAGAGATGATCATGGATCCAAACAGGCCGGCGAGGAAGAAACAGAAGCATAAGAAGAAGACAGCTGGTAAGTCCAGCTTCGATTTGGATCCAAAAACTCTCTTCCCTTTGGATTTCATCATCATATGTGATTGATAGGAACTATTGTAGACGCATATACATACAGATTTTGATATATAGTTTTTAGAAATCTGAGAGAATATTGTTGTTAGGTGTAACGTATCAATCTCTTAAATCTTCTTTCGCTGCTGTAAATCTTAGCTTGCCGGTTCAAGAGATGACACCACGCGGTAATGGCGGGAGTTTTTCCTTCTATTTGAAAACGAGGAATTTTGGTGAGGTGATGTGTCACATTAGTCAAATGCTTCTTTTTTGGGTAAAATACATTTTTTGTCCTCAAAGTATATATTTAATATCTATTTGAGATCAAATCTTTCAATTGTGTCTATTTAGTCTCCTAATTTATATCTTTATGGTCTAATCTCAAACGTCTGTTAGAAAATTATTAATNAAATCTTTCAATTGTGTCTATTTAGTCTCCTAATTTATATCTTTATGGTCTAATCTCAAACGTCTGTTAGAAAATTATTAATAGTTCTAGCCACGCGCCAATCATGTGGGATTAAATAGACAAAAATTATGAACTTTAGCTACCAAATAGATGCAAAATTAGGAACCACGTAATTAGTGCTTGATCAGAACTGCCACAATTTTTTGATGGGCATTTGAAACTGGACTACGTAGATGCAAATTATAAATTTTAAGGACTAAATAGACACAATTAAAAGATCAAAGATTAAATAAACAATAAACCCATACTTTGAAGACCAAGAATATATTTTTCCCTTCTATACATTAGGAGTAATGATTCTATTTCATTTTATTCCATCCGTATCTCAACTTAACTCATTTAATATTCCTGTGATGTCATTGACATAACATATGTCATTTTTAGTCTATCTCTTTTTATTTTTTTTCTATATATGAAAATTTTAAAAATTATTATATAATAATCAGATTTTTTAAGGTTGAGTAACATTATTCATATATTAGTGTAATGATGATATCACATGGATTGGTAATAACGTAGTATTATCAATCAATGGAAATAAATTAGATAAGGTAAATGAAATTAACAATTGACTTAATGGTCACCGCCCTCGTTGTTAGACGTTTACGCTGCAGGTTCAAACCTTATCGTTTCTCTTTCTTGTAATAGTGTCTGATCAAAAAAATATCTTATTATTTTAAAGTATTAATTAATTAGTATGGTAGTGGGTTAGAAATTATTAAAAGGGTAAAAACTCCTATCTATAAGTGATATAATATCACTAATAATAATTTTGTACCTAAAAATATTATATAATACTACAAATTGAACATTAATCATACATTTTTTTAAAGTACTTATGAGAAATAATTTATGAAAATACTTTTAAAAAGTTACTCAAAATACATTCTTAAGGGCCTATTTTTTCTATTAAATTTAGAGTTTTAATAATAGTCGTCAGATTAACTTTAAAATAAAATTTAAAGAGATCTCAACTGCGAATAGCAAAAGTTATTTTGTTTATCTTTTGAGATTTGAATTATATAGATATAGATATAGATGGTCATTTACAATTTTTTTTGGGATCATTTACAATCTTTGATAGTCGTTTATAGTTTTTGAGGATCATTTATAATTTTTAAAAGGTTATTTGCGATCGATCTTAAAAATTTTAGGATCGATCGTAAATAACTTTTAAACTTTGCCAAATATTTTAGAATCGATTGCAAGTAACCTTAAAAAATTGTAAATGACTTGTCAAAAATTGTAACTTAAACCATAAAAATTATAATATTACCCAAAAGATATAAAAAAAATTTTGTTGTAAACAAACCTAAAAAGTTATATTTTAACCCACAAATATTATAAACTTTGGTGGTTTAATCCCAAAATATATTTTTTGGTACCGTAATCTTCTCCTTAATTGTTGATATCATATATCATTTAATGACGTGTATGAGGATTGCATCGAATATTTTCTCGATAAGGAGAATGAGACTCAAAATTTACTATCTTTGGAAAAGGACCAACCACTGACCTCTCTTTTGCTCACATTAGTCAAAATGTTGGACAGGGGCTAATGGCTGTTGTTAGGTGAGGTGGGCTGGGCCAGGAATGAGTTGGCCCCATAATATACCTTCACGGGGTTCTACATAAGGCCAGGCCTAGTTTGTAGACGAACTTATAGAAAAATTAGTTATTGCATATACACGAAGATACAAAGTAATAAAAAATAAAAAATAAAAAATATATTTATATTTATATTCAAAATCAAATCATAAATATAGATTAAAGATAAATAAATTTAAGCATCGATTGTAGTGGAGGGTGAGAAGTGGTGGTGGTAGGAGATGTTGATGGTTGTGGTGGGCGACAATGAGCGTGGTGGTGGTGACGGAGATGGCAGTGGTGGTGATGGCGATAGAGGTGGTGGTGGCAGTGATGGTGGTGGTAGAGGTGGTGGTGGTAGAGGTAATGGTGGGGTAGTTTCGAACACTATTTTTTTTAGAGTATTTATAAGAAATAATTCCTATAAATACTTTTAAAATGTCACGCAAAACACACTCTTAGAGTTCTATTTTTTCTATTAAATTTAGGATGATAATATTAGCAATTAGATTAATTTTAAAGTAAAATTTAAAGCGATCTGAACTTCCAAAAGTAAAAGTCATTTTGTTTATCTTTTAAAATTTGAATTGTAAACTACTTTATTATATAAATAGAAAAATGTATCTATAATTAACTTATAATATAAAATAAATCAGACTTCAATAATTTTATTCGACAGTCTCAAATAGACTCATCCAACAGTCACTAACATTACTCTTAAATTCATTCATATTGCATCGTACCTTCAGACACAAATTATCCTAATTGTATATAACCTAGTTAAATCTAATGGAGCTGAGAGTTGAATTGTTCGAATTTGATTGTGCGTTCATAAAGAGTGTTCAAGATCGGTTTGAAACTCGCGTAATGAAAAAAGTTATTTTAATTTAATACAATATTTTTTTTTAATAAAAGTATTTTCAGTATCGTAGTCTTTTCCTATTTAAGCATATATTATTTCTTGCTACAAAATAACCAACTGGTCGATAATCGATTTATTTTTTCCCATTTGTTATTTCCTTCTGAATAAATCTGTTATCCCATATGCGATGACTAAGCTTAGTAAACAAGCATCAATGGTGGTGTTCTTGTACATAGAACTTAGGGATAAATGAAAATAATAAGTTCAGTCTACTTGAGCAATTTCTATGTACGTAGATAAACAATTTATCAACATTATGATCAATAAAGGAGCCTAAATTTCCAAAATGAGAGGCCAAGAGTGGAAGAAATACTGATTAGTTTTGCATAATCTATTTGTTGGGACCCGTAATTATCCAATGATTGTAATGAATTATATTAATAAATTAAGTTCAAATAATATTATTGAACCTTTGATCATGCAACAAAACACCACAAGACTATGTAACATACGATCGTAATTCTTATAACTGTTCACTAACCTAATATGAAAATAATACTATGTTACTTGATACGTGATTAGACTAAACAAATTTATGTTATAACTGATCTGATCTTTCGAATAAGATAAATAAATGAGTCAACATGATCTTGATTATACACACAATCAAGCTATACATGTCTACAAATGCATGTGTAGGTGTTGAGAAACTTTAAGATTACACAACCTAATCTCTAATCACCTATCTCTCTTCAGTTTACCTAAGAAAAAGGTTCAATCCTATTTCCTTTAGTAAATCCTATCAGAGTCTCTTGGTTCTTGTATATGTTGTTTTACACTTCCTGTAATAGAATGTTTTCTTGCGTTACACACTTGGATTGGTATGATATTGATTACTTTAAAAGATATAACTTTATTCACAATGTTAATTTCCCAAGATAACTTTAATCACAAAGGACAAACGAATAAAATCAATTAGAGAAATATATATTACGTACACGATAATTCAACCTAAAAATAGATCATCTATGTCGAAACTAAGTTATTCATAAAAAATTGTCAATATTCAAATTTAAAATACCTAAATTTATAACTCTTTAGTGATTCTTTAATGCTTTTATAATGGGTTCTTCCCCCAGATAAGAGTTAAGCAATAGCTCAGAACCACAGATTACGAGAGAAAGCAAAGGTACTTGAAATGGAAAAAGCTTTAAAAAGTACTGAAATTCGCACTTCTTTTGCAGAAGAAACCTTCACCAGTAGAACCCGAGAATTTGTTCTCCCCTTTCCTGCTACAGAATAATCAATGGAAAATTTCAGCCACCTTTTAATTTATCATACCGTCAAAGATATTCCTCCTATTTCTTAAATTTTCATTAACATCCTTGTCGGATTAAAAATATTAATTAGAATACAATTTAACTAAATTATCCATGATAAATTAGAGAAAAAATTCTACTCACACATTTTCTAGATAAACATATATTTAATGAGACCTCCTCTGTTTTCTAAATTCTTTTACGTACTAAAATTTGGGCTGACTAAAATTTAATTCGAGCTAAGTATTTAAAAATTATATTTTTTTATGTGTTAAAAATTTGAGCCGATTAAAATTCAATTTTTAATCGACTCAAATCAAATTTTAATCAATTCACATTGAATTTTAATGGGCTTAAATTTTGATATATAAAAAAATATAAATTTTAATCTACTCAAATTTTAATTGGTGCTACCAGTTCAGGTAGAGCTAAAATCGGCTTGCATTTTAATACGTTAAAAGAAGTTTTAATAAACTCAAATTTTAATACGTAAAAAAATAAAATTTAAACAGTTCGAATTGAATTTTAATATGTAGACAAACGAATTTTAATTAACTCGAATTTTAATATGTAGAAAAATAAATTTTAGTTAGTTTAAATTTTAATCGAATTTTATGTAAAAAAGATTGTTTGGGATTTATGTAGGGACATTTTTTGTATTTTAGTTGATTTTTTTATTAGAAATGATGGTTTAGTGGTAAGACTGTTACTGATGTTTAAATATACATTAAAAAGGGTGTCAATGATATTTTTAATAATTAAAAAAATATCTTTGACGATAAAGCAAACTAAAAAGATTGTAACTGAAATTTTCCCAACAAACTAATATCATTTATAATCTATAAAATGGTGTGTTCAAAAGGCCTTTTGATACAACAACTTGCTTTCAGAAACCTTCAAACCACCCCCTCTGTTTGATACCTTGAACTTGAACTTTTTTCTGCGTTTTTTTTTCCACCCATTGAGGAGACATATGGCTAGAGCTGGGGTCAGAATGACAAAGATATTATTGTTTAGGTTGTGTTTTATTTCTCTTTATTATTTCAGAATAGCATTAGGTAAAGCTAGAGGCTTTTGTAGTTGCACGGTTTGATATTGTGCAGTTGAGCTGAAACCATCATTGGCCAGAGAGAGCGAGAGAGAGATACTTATGGTTCTTTCTCTTTCTTGGTTGTCTTGTTTATTGCAGTTATTTATTGTTGTTGTTTTTCTGTTCCATTGATCTTAAGAATCTCACATAGTCACATTTAAAATTGTTAGACCTCTCTCTCTGTCTCACACACACACACACACACACACAAAAGGTGACTTGTGTCACACATCCCACGCAATCACAGACAAGTAGGGCAAAGTTTGAAGGGTGTACACAAATTGTATTATGAGTGTCTTTTCCTGGTTGGTAATTGACTTACGGTTCTTGTTTCTTTTATTTATGGCTTTTTTTGGTTGTTTTTATTAGTTCTATTGATCTTTATACCTTATTTGAGATTGTCATCCCTCTCTCTCTCATACACACACACACCACCGAACAAAATCAATAACTCATACATGATATATGCGTACACGGAACAGATTAAAGCAGTAAGCACTCATTAACAGCAATGTATCAAGGTACTTTTGCTTATCATTCACATGCATGGAGAGTCGGAAACCTTAATGTTGTAATGAAGACACCTCTTTCTTCTTCATGCAGGGGAGCTAAGGCTAAGTCACTTGGACACGGCATGAGCAAGCTTGCAGGGGTGGATCAAGGAGCAAAACCTAGAAGTTCAGATGAGAAGGGTACTGCTGACAAGGGAGGGGACCAGCCACCCTACTGGGTCCCACATCCTCGTACTGGGATATACTTCCCAAAAGGACATGAATGGGTGATGGAGGAAGTTCCAAATGGTGCAGCCTCCTTTGGTCAGACCTATTGGCTGAGGAACACTGATGGAGTTGATAAACCAGACCTTTATCAAATTTCAAATGATCAATCCATGACTGGAAAGTATTAAGTTCATGCTAACAATAAGTTATGAATTTCATGAAGTGTGAAGAGGGATTGTGAAAGGTTATGGCCTTACTGTCACTAGAAAATAATCATCTCTCATTTATGAAACGGATAAATTTCAGGTACTGTTTGATAACGTTTTCATTTCCCTCCGAATAAATCTGTTATCCCATATGAGATGACTAACCTTAGTAAACAAGCATCAATGGTGCTGTTCTTGTACATAGAACATAGGGATAAATGAAAATAAGTTTAGTCTGCTTGAGCAATTTCTATGTAGATAAACAATTTATCAACATTATGATCAATAATGGAGCCAAAATTACCAAAATGAGAGGCCTACAGTGGAAGAAATACTTATTAGTTTTGTATGATCTATTTGTTGGGACTCGGCAATAATCCAATGATTGTAATAAATTATGTTAGCAAATTAGGTTTAAATAACATTACTGAACCTTTGATTGTGCAACAAAACACTACAAGACTATGTAACATACGATCATAATTCTTATAACTATTCACCAACCTAATATGAAAATAACACTACGTTACTTGATTAAACTAAACAAATTTATGTTATAACTGGTCTGATCTTTTGAATACGATAAATAATGAGTCGACACGATCAAGGGCGACATAAGAAAACATGAGGCTTAAAGCGACATTTGTAAATGAGGCCTTTTTAAAATTGTATGTATTACTAATTCTCTTATTCTTTCTTGTGATATGGTCGACCTTAAGTAAGACTTTATTAATTTTAAAATATTCGTTACTAATATTTTTTCATTTTTTTGTATGTTTTGCATGTTTAACTTTCATCATGAATATTTTTTATTATTATTTTTTTTGTATTATTTATTATTTCTTATTCTTTTGGATCTATTAATTGTTTATTTGCATGATTTTAACCTATTTTTTTATGACGTTTTGTTTGGTAGTAGGAATAAAGAGATCATTTTGAGATTTAATTATTTTAAAATTATCTCATTTTTTAGAAAGATTTTTCACATCCAAATGATTATTTTCTAGTTACCATATTTATAATAAATAATCAACAAATTAGTTCTATGGTATTTATAATTACAGAATATAACATGAGCTTAAAATTACAGAAAAAATATAAAAATAATATAGTTTGATTTATCATAGTTATTTGCAACATTAAAATTTGATATTTTAGTTCTTTCTAAATCAAAGTTTATAAATTAAGTAGATCATTTTATGTAAGTTTGATTTGATGTATGATTTAAGATAAAAAATTGTGCGTGTGTGAGAAGGAGAGAGAGTTTTATTTGTGTTTAATTGGAGCCCTAAGAGAGAGTATGTGTGTGTGTGTGAGTGACAGAGAGATGAGACTTTTGTTTTTACAGTTTTTGTTTTACTGAATTTTAATCGTTACAACAATATGTGTGGCCAATATTTTTGAGCCCAACTATTGAATCTAAAATTTAGTTATTAGGTGTATACTTTATTAAGATTTTTTATGGAGTTTATATTGTCATATATTTAAAAATTTAGATTAAATTATACTATACATTAAAAAATATGGAGCCTAAAGCCTCCGCTTTTTCGTTTACACTGCTGGGCCGGCCCTGATCTTGATTATACACACAATCAAGCTATACATGTCTACAACTGCATGTGTAGGTGTTGAGAAACTTTAAGATTACACAACCTAATTCTAATCACCTCAATTTACCTAAGAGAAAGGTTCAATCCTATTCCCTTTTGTAAACCCTATAAATATATCTTGGTTCATGTATTATCTTGGTTCATCACTTCCTGTAATAGAATGTTTTCTTGCGTTACACACTTGGATTGGTATGATATTGATTACTTTAAAAGATATAACTTTATTCACAATGTTAGTTTCTCAAAATAACTTTAATCACAATGGATAAACGAATAAAATCAATTAGAGAAATATATATTATGTACACGATAATTCAAAGATTATCGCCTATCAAACATACATTTACAAAAAATGTTATTTGTTTTTTATTTTGGTGTATCCCTGAATTAATGTTGTAGCAATATTGTTCATACCTTCTGGGCTAGGCAACATGCCAAGAGTTCAAATCCTCTGATTAGTTATTACGTACTTGTCAAAGTGCATAAAACTTCTATCACTACTGTATCAAGAAATAGACTCGGGAAATGGAAGATGTTTCCCTAAATACTTGTATTAAGTCCTAAGTAAATAAGCAAAATCGGTGTATAAATCCCAATTTGAAAAAAAAAAAGATAATTAACACATATAAAAAGTAATTAACTGTATCTTTTTTAGTTCAACGGTAGAGGTGTCTAGACTAATGTATGCGTATCTCGACTAATTCTCTTATCGATTCGGTTAAAGACAGATCATCTACGCCGAGATTAAGTTATTTATAAGGAATAAATCATTTATTGTCTAACCTCAAGAGATTATCAATATTCAAATTCAAGATATTTTAATTTATAACTCATCTTTGTAGTTAACCATATCATAAGACTTTCTTTAATGCTTTTACAATGGGTTCATCCCCAAACAAAGAGCTAAGCAGAAGCTCATCAGAACGACAGGTTATATTAGTATGAGAAAAGGATTTCCATTTCAAACGTACTGAAATTCGCACTTCTTTTGCAATAGAAACCTTCACCAGTAGAACCCGAGAATTTATTCTTCCCTTTCCTGTTACAGAATAAACTAATATCGTTTATAATTTTATAAAATGGTGTGTTGAACTGAGTCCTTTTGATACATCAACTTCTCAGATCTTGCAGCTTTCAAAAACCATCAAATCAAACCCACCATCTCTGTTGCTGCCTTGAACTTGAAATTTTTGCAGCGTTTTTCTGCGTTTTTTTTCACCCATTGAGGAGACATATGGCTAAAGCTGGGGTCACAATGACAAAGATGTTACTGTTTAGGTTGTGTTTTATTTCTCTTATTATTTCATAATAGGATTAGGTAAAGCTAGAGGTTTTTGTAGTTGCATGGTTTGATATTGTGCAATTGAACTGAAACCATCATTGACCAGAGAGAGAGAGACTTATTTTTCTTTCTCTTTCTTGGTTCTCTTCTTTATTGCAGTTATTTTTTGTTTTTGGTTTTTTTGTACCATTGATCTTAAGAATCTCACATAGTCACTTTTAAAATTGCTAGTTCTTTCTCTCTCTCTCTCACACACACAAGGTGACTTGTGTCACACAACCCAACACAATCACAGACAAGTAGGACAAGTTTGAAGGGTGTATACAAAGACAGATGTATCACGAGTGCCTTTTCGGCTTTCCTGGTTGGTAATTTACTTACGGTTCTTGTTTCTTTTATTTATGGCTTTTTTTGGTTGTTTCTATTAGTTCCATTGATCTTTATACCTTATTTGAGATTGTCATCTCTCTCTCTCTCTATCTCTCACACACACACACCCCACCGAACAAAATCAATAACACATACACGATATACACGTCCACGGAACAGATTAAAGCAGTAAGCACTCATTAACACAGCAATGGATCAAGGTACTTTTGCTTATCGTTCACACGCATGTGGAGTTGGAAAAGCTAATTTTGTCATGGAGACACCTCTTCCTTCTTTCATGCAGGGGGGCCAAGGCTAAGCCAGTTGGACATGGCATGAGTAAGCTTGCAGGGGTGGATCAAGGAGCAAACCCTAGAAGATCAGATGAGAAGGGTACTGCGGACAAGGGAGAGGACCACCCATCCTACTGGGTCCAACATCCTCGTACTGGGATATACTTCCCAAAAGGCCATGAATTGGTGATGGAGGAAGTTCCAGTTGGTGCAGCCTCCTTTGGTGAGACCTATTGGCTGAGGAACACTGATGGAGTTAATAAACCAGACCCTTATCAATTTCAAATCATCAATCCATGACTGAAAATTATTCAGTTCATGCTAACAATAAGTTATGAATTTCATGAAGTGTGAAGAGGGATTGTGAAAGGTTAGGGCCTTACTGTCACTAGAAAATAATCATCTCTCATTTATGAAATAAATAAATTTCAGGTACTGTTTGATAACATTTTTTTGTTTAAATAAATTTTTTTTAAAACTAAAAATAAATCCCGTCATAAATCCAAAAGTATATATTTGATTGCTATTAGTGTTCATGTGATCAATCCATGAGAAAAGAATACTGATTAATGCTAACAAGTTATGAATTTCATGAAGTGTAAAGAGGCTTTATGGATGGTTATGGCCTTAATGTCACCGGAGAATATTATCACTCTCATTTATTAAACGAATAAATTTAGTGTCATTTGATAGCACTTTTTTTTTCAAGATAATTATTTAAGCAAATATATAATTTCTTCATAAAGTCAAAATTCATACTTGATCACTATTGACTTTCATGTGAATCCACAACTGAAACATATTATTTTTTTTTATTTTTGGGGGAAGGGAACTTGAATGAACCGTTGATTTCAACAAAACAAATCCTTCATTAGATAAAGAATATCATCAGATCAAAAAAAAAAACATATTAGTTCATTTGCCAATAAGAAGTTATATATGAACTTGATTCTGTAAAAGAACAAGAACAAATTATAAACTCAAATGTTTTGAATTCGAATTTTGATAATTTTTTAAGGCCAGATCATGGGGGATTTATCCCTCGTAAATACTTTAATTCCGGTGTGAATGATCTATTTGAACAGACCGGAGAGGAGATTAGTTCAAATGAGTGTAAACTGATTCGCACAACCCTGAACGACGAAAAAAAAAAAAGAAACAAGGCTTGTGACCTAGGAGCAGTGTTACTAAGAGAATCACCCCCCCTCGTCTGTACTGAGTAAATCAATTTACTGTTAGTAGAGAATAACCCCCCTCAGTAACTGAGTAGATTAATAAATTGAGCTACTGTATGGTAATAATTTTTATAAATATTTTTTTAAGCAAAAACACATGTGATCATTGCATAATAAAAGCGATTTATGTGAATTTTAGTATAAAAATGGCATATTAATACATGAGATTAAGATTGGAAGAAAGAGAGCAAGCCCAGACAAGAATAAATCAAAAAAAAAAAATCCAATAAATGCTACTTAACAATGAATTTTAAAAAAAATTAAAAAATGAAAAAATACTTTACAAAGCTTCTTGAATTAGTTATTAGCATTTCAGTGGTTTTGGGTTTTTTTCTTCTTCTTTTGTTTTGTTTTTATATAAGGCTACAAGGGTTTTTTATTTTTATTTATTTATTTTTTATTTTCATATAAGGTTGTGAGTAGAGCTAATAATTGAGCCGAGTTAGTTGAGCTCAATTGGGATAACACCCGACTCAAAACGAGTCAAGTTCGAATAACTTTTTAGACTCGTTTTAAAAACGAGTTTAAAATGTTCGTTTATACGTAAAATAATTGAGTTACTTGACTCGGTTCGTTTTTGGGCTTAACTTATATTTAAAACAAGTCTAACTTGAATAATTTTTTAAACTCGTTTGAAAAAACAAGCTCGACAAATTTGACTCGAACTCATAAAGATAGTAGGCCTTAAAATTATAGGCCCATCTTAGAAGCCTGCCTAAGAAACTTCGGGCTAAAAGCCCAAGAAAAGAAGTTCCATTATGTGGGAACATAGGCCCATAGGCCCTACTTTTTACTTGAAAACGATCGGTGGGATCAAATCTGTAACTGTCTGTCTATAACAATCCAACAAGTCAAAATACGACTTTAATCGCTCCGCACTTTACCAAATCGTGTCTTGTTCCCCAAACTCTCTCTCTCTCTCTCTGTCTCTCTCTCTCTCACACACACACACACACACACACACACACACTCACTCTTTCTCTCTCTAACACTCGCTTCAGTTGTTACCTCTTCAAAGGTCTCTTCGCTAGCTTTGTCAGCTCTCTCTCCCTCTCTCTCCCTTTCTCTCTTTGATTCAGTATGTTTTAGTGTATATATGTGTGTGTGTGTATTATTTTATGTGTGTGTGTTTGTTGATTTGAGTGTTGATAGTTACGTGATATATTGAATAGCAGGAAAGAGAAAAGTGTGGATTTTGTTTTTGGATGCCGAGCGCAGCTGAGCTATTGTACACCAGGAGGTCTCGTGTGGGTCGAATCACCGACTCAGACGACCTAGGAGGAGGCTTTGATTCGTCTCTCGATCGAATTTCGCTCCACAACAATAATCGTCGCCAGCACCACCATCACACCAACAATTTTCGTGGCGATCGGCACGATCTGGATGGATGTGATCATCTCCGGCGGCCTCCTAATCTCAGACATCCCATTCATCGCACCGTTCATATTGTAAGACCTAAAAATTGCAGTTTAGTTCTGTTACGAATACTTTTTGAGAGATTTGTAAAGCAAAATAAAAAGAGAATTGGGGAAAGGAAACCGCTTCGAGGGGTAGAAACCTCCGGTGGTCCAATTCGAGAAGAACCGAATCTCCACACTTCACAAGAAAGTTGATTTCAAAATCCAAAATACCATTTTGATTGAAAGAAAGGTCTTTAAATATAAGATAACAAAAACTACCTTAATAACTTACTTAGTAACAACCTTGAAAATTACCCACAAAATACACTGTCACTAACCACTCATTAATAATCTTCCAATAACTAACTCCTAGATTACATAAAATACATATTAAAAATGTGCACATAACAAATTCACTTGTAGGCTATTTTATATATGGGTTGGATGAGGAATTATTGTTTGATTATAAAGTTGGTCAAAGTTAGAAAGCTTAATTTGGTTTTTTTTTTAAAAAAATTTTTTTTTTTTTTTTTTTGGGAGGGGAGGGGGCCTTGAGCTCTTGACCTCAAGAAGGTAAAGTCTTGTGGTAAAGCCTTCACAAGGTAAGGACCACCATTAGACCAAAAGCCCACTGGTAGCTTAATTTGGTATATGACTTGATTTTGGTGTTGATTACGGACTGTAAAAATCGTATGAATCAACTCAACAAAGTCATGTCCCAACAAGCCTTATGCCAACTTTTTTGGGGCCGGTTACATGAGTTTTGTTTCACCATTGAGCTCTCTCAAGGGGAATGTTTAAAAAAAAATGGTATGATGGTGGATAATTTAATAATCTCTCAGTTATTTGCATGTATTTGTGAAACTCGTGTTGGAAGTGTATTTTATTCCCCTATTAGTTCTCATTTTTTGAGTGGGATGAGTGTCCGAAGATCGGCTGCTTGGTTCTATGCTACCCGGCCTTGAGGATCTCATATTGTGTTATGAAATAATTATGATTGATCTTTTAGTATGAAAATTAGATGGCTATTAAAAGAAGAGGGTACCATACATAGGCTAGAACTTGGAACCCATGACTTGTAAGTTGAAAAAAGCTACTAAAAAGCATGCAGACCATTTGGCTATTGATTTTCGTCCGGTTTAGACTTGAGATCAGGCTGGACCAGGCTCAAGCCGAAACACCCTTTGATATTTTGTGATGTAAGTCTTGCCCTGCCCATGACCATCTATACTTCAAGTTTTACAATCAATTGAGACTGCTTTTTTCTGATTATTATTCTTTGCAGTTGCATCATCAACTAAGGTAAGTATTTTTTCGGTTTTTTATAAATTTTCTTTTCTGCCTGTATCTCTTTGTATTTCCTACTACTCTGTTCTCTACTAATGGTTGATGTGATGGGAAATGTCCAGTTTGAAATGCTTTCTACTGTTTTTGTGAATATGATGCTTTTTTAAGACGGCTAATTTTGTAGTATGAATGAGTCACTTTGGCAACTAGACAATTTTGTTCTCATCCTTGTCGTATATTTTGGCATGTCCAGGAGCATGAATCAGTTCGTCATGATCAAATCAGCAGCCAATCTACTTTAGGAAACTCTGTTAACTCAGAAAATTTTAGCAGCATAAGAGAGAGACAAAGATTCAGAGGGAATGATAGACTTCCTGGAGCTGTGCTACTTGCGAGGGAAAGGCTTCTTAACAGGTTGAGAGATGTTTCCCTATCTGCAAACAGGTCAGTCATCAGTGCTCTCAGAACATTCAAGCTTGCAATTTGATCAAGCTTTTAACATTTCCCCCCTCTGATTGCATGTTGGACTGCAGCTACCTTAACATTTCATATTTAAATGTCTCCATACAATGGGTGGACAAACTTGTAATTCCAATGTGATACCAATGCTTTGGGCATTCACTGAATTGCCTCTCTAGACCACTTAATTTCAAGATATCTATGACTTTTTGAAGTGCAAGGTGTGGGTTCTTTTCACTCCAATCGCCTATGAGAGAAATTTTTGCCTTAAGGCCATCTTTGAAATTCAGAATCCTTCCTAGTGTCATGTCCATTAAAGAGTGATTTTAACATATCTAGAGGAGCCCAAATAACAGACGGGATTCTGTGGGTTGTTAATATCTTGTTTCCATTTTCTCTTTGATTGGAGGGAGGTTGGTGAAATCTTGGTGTACACTGAATGCTGCTCTCTTCTCCACCTGACCCCTCCTATTGTTAAACGTGGGGGTTTTGGACACCGGTGCTTGAAATTTGCTTCAGGCTCAGTGTCACTTTGCTTCCTTGGGAAGAAAGAAATGATAGACTCTTTGATTATGAGCTAATACTGGTATGTTATCTGATGGGGATTTCTCTTGGACCTCTTAATGGATGACCACTTACTTGGTACTTGCCCTTTCCAGTGGTGGGGGGCCTTGGACAGCAAGATACTTACCTTGAGATGGGGCTTTAACGAGACAGCTTTAGTAATCTGTCTTATTTTGTTCAGAAATCTCACTCTGAACAGTACAAGATGCAATTTAGTAATCCCTCATGCTTTATAGAGATTCCATCTGTTGATCAAACACTACTTTGTCCTAACTTTCAGTGAGACAATTGTTTAAGACACTTTGGCCGCAGCACCCTCATCCTCTTTGCCTCCTTGCTGATCATCTCTTGTCCAACTTGGTCATTTCTGTTGATGTTATTTATTTATTTGACTTCAGCCTGTCCTCATTTTTCTCTTTGATTTTTACTTCTGTATTGATTTGAGATAAGAGTAGTGTGTTTATGGTAGACCAATTTGGCTGATTTTGGGGGGCACTTTTCGTCTGTTTATTAATGATAGGTGACATATTGATACAAATGGTTTAGGGGAATCAAAAATATCTCCGTCTGATTCAACAGAGATAGTTGACATATTGATACAACATTGATCGTAACTTGGAGTAACTGTTTCGAAGATATTAACAAGGTTCTGAGCTGTTGGTTGAACTACAAGATACTTGTCATTATGTCACCCTGTCAAACGTCAACTCGGTTGGGCAATCTCATTGACCTCTCCTAGAAATCTCTGTCAATCTTCAGCGTATGGTTGGGTATAGTTGCTTGGACATCGCTTTCAGGCTTGTTCGCTTAGCAAATATCTAATTAGTCTTCTCTGGTGTCGACCATTGTCCAAGACAAGTAGGAGTCTTTTCTCATGTGCTAGTAAGAAGTAAACTCATGGGGATTCTGCAGTTAATGAGATAGAGAAAGCAGAAGCTAGGAAGTCACTGTAAGGGTCACATTCCACTTAGCTTGGTATTCGGTTGCTGTCACAGTAAAAGAGTTATTCTTTTATCATTTGCTAGCAACAAGAAGTAGGGATTCGGCACTTCGATCATTTCAAAAATGGGATAGTTAAAAAACCTATGTGACAAATGATGTGTTTTTCTTCTCCTCCCTGAACAACCAACTCGTGAGTAATCATATTGATAACTCTTTATAATTCAGTTCAATCTAAACAATTCCAAATTCCAGTAGTAGCTCTATTCCTGTTACCATCTGCAAAATTTGTATTACATTTCAATGTGTGAATCTATGCATTGACGTCCTTGGTTTCTTTTCCATTCCTGAAGTTGATTGTAGCACAAGGTTATTAACTTGTTCTGTGAACGTTGACTCTTCTACTCCTTGTTACTAGGTTGAGTTATGAATTTTGCTGCTGTTCTCAGGGATTTTTTGTTGTAGGCCAATCATTTAGGTCAATTGTTTTTGGTTTAAAGTCTTGGTTATGTACCACTCTGTGGTATCACCTGAAATTGTTAATCAAGCATTAGGTTACTTGCCAAATATCAAGGCATTCATGAGTATTAGTTGACATGTTTTATGTGCTTTTAAAGTCATGGAAATCCAAAAGTGACTCTTCTGGTGCATTATAGAATCGAAGATTGTGTTAATGGGGTGTTTATCTTGTCCTATGCTTGTAGGCGGAGTAACAGTGCTTCATCTCTCGGCGTAAGATTCAATGATGTGTTTAGGCTTGGTGATGTCGGGGACTGGCAGACTGAAGCACCAAGGAACTGGCTAGCTGGTTACACTGCCCCTACTTACTCAATCTCTCCAACAGATCGGCAGCTAGTGCTGCAAGAACCCAGGAAGAGACCACCAGGACTCACTCAAGAGGCACTGAATGGTCTGCCTCTGGAGGTTTTCACTATAAAAAAAAGTGATGAAGAGGCAGTATCAATGGCACCACTGGAGTGCAGTATATGTCTTGAGAGTTTCCTGGAGGGCGATGAGCTCAGATGTTTACCGTGTGGGCATAAATTCCACTCCTCCTGCTTGTATCCTTGGGTTCAGACTTGTGGTGATTGCCCCTATTGCCGTACTGATATATTGGTAGATAGAGGTGAGCAGCAAGAGAGCCATAGCATCCTTTATTGAGGTATTTCCGTGAGCGGGGTGTTCTGTGTGTGCTCTAGTTTTGGGATTTTGACCAGATAGTGCAGATGTTTTGTGCCTTAAACTTGTGCCTCTTTCTATGCTTTGTTCTAAAAGAGGACATAATCTAACATTACTGACGTTTTACTGCCTGTTGACCTGTCATTATATCTCGGGGCGAATGTTTCCCTGGCTTGGTTTTTTCTTGCTTGTGACACTTCAGAAAAATACAGGAGATATACTTTTCTTATCTAATTTTTGGTTTTGCACCCAAAGTTACGATCTAATCAAGTTAAAGTGATGACTCCATAAGGTTGATTTAGGATTGATTTTAAACCTTTTGATCTTGTACAAAGGAAACATTGATTTAATCGGGGCATTTTATTTTTTGGTATCATACCAAATTGCGGATTTTCCCAACATTATGTGGGAGACATCTAAGTATTGAGTGTGGAATGTTATTCTACAAAGCTAATTGGCAGGTTAAAACCTAACAAAGAATAGGCACCCCACTTCAGTATTGCGAGACTAAATTAAATTTGTAAACCTCTGTTAGGTTTAACTTTCATTAATATTCTACGTTAAAATGTACTTTTAATGATATTTCTTTAATTCTGTAAATTAATCCCTGAAGTTTTCATTGGTCAAGTAGTTCAAAATCACCGATCACGGAAAATCCAACTGTAACTATTCCACAAGACATTAAGATGGATGTGTCTATATCTGCATAAAAAGATGAAAAATAGCGAGAAAGAACATAATCTGCCCATATTTCAGTCCACAAGAAATTAAGTTGATGCAGAAACCAGAAACAGTCGGTACAAATATTCTAGTCCTTACTCCAAAATATTGCACTTGAAAGCCTACACACAATGAACCAAAAAGAAAGAAGCAAAATTACTCATCAAAACTATGATGGAGCAATGCTCTAGTGTAGACACCAATGAAAGGAGCCCGAAGAGGACTGCTAAGGTTGCATACAGCAGCACTATTGTTTCCTAAGCGTAATATCGCCAACCAAACAAGATCCGCATTTACATATGAAAACTTCATAGGTGACTTGCAAAAAATGAATCCATTCTCCTGCATATTTGCTCACTTAAGAAAGTGAGGACTAATCAAACCTGCAATCTCAAGAAACCCAACATGATCCTTCCCTCCAAATATTTTCTTCAGCTTCTCATCGCAGACTATGACTTTCTTGTTTTCAGGGTCCTAAAGTAAAAAAGACAAACAAGTCAGAATTGTCCTGCTGCTACACTAATATAGGTAAAATTAGATGTACATGATCTCTACGTTGATACCAAACAGAATCGAGCGACACAAGCATGCACCAACAGAAGCCGGTTGATATGTCACCAGTTAGCGTCACATTGAACAATATATCATTTACTAAAAGCACTTTCTAACATTCTAGAATGCTTCCCAAATAAGTCGAGAATGTTTAGAAATCCGCTTTTAGAAAACCACTGCCTCAAAATAAAGCTATGATATGAAAGCTAAAAGGCAATTTCGCAGCACCAGCAGATAGCCGGTTCAGCCACATGAGAAGAGTATCTCTTCATACTTCCCTTCTTCCAACTTAAGCCATAAGCATGTATTTTGTTAGCCTCATTTAAAGTAAATCGTCAGAATATTGGTATCATACCACATCAAATATTGTAACATAGATATAGGAGCAATAAGACTGATTCGCCATTAAGCAGTAAATAGTTGTAAAACTGTCATAGAAAGTAGGCAGAACTTCAATATATATTTTTATCCTGTTATTTTAGCCATTTCAGTTTCCAACAAGTTGTAAAATCAACATCCACAAGAGGTCCGTCTCATGCTTTTGCTGTTTCTGAATAAACATTGTGACATGGGACTATTCACGACTTTATGCATGATAAACCTCCACCAGCACATTAATTTCCAGGCTTTAAACAGGCAGTATTGTTAATGTGGACACAACTGTACTATACTTTCATACAATATCTTAATTGAATTATATGAAATGATCAATAAATTCAAGTAAATTCTATACCTACATAGAACGAATCAAATCAAATGGTTCTATTTCTGAACTTTTCTGACTTGCTCCCACGGGACCATGGTCAAAAAGATTGAAAAAATCAGTCATTCACAACCATTGATGAAGAATTCCTCGAAAAATTAAGAATTAGTAATCTTTTTTAGAAATCGAATGGATTCAATCTTATACATACGCAAGGGAGGTAATTAAAAAAGAAAGAAGAAACCAACTTCTTTCTTTTATCACTTGGGAGCCGTGTGAGATGAAAGTCTCATGCACGGTTTTGAATGAGAGAAAGAAGTGAGGAATCCTCTTTTCGACTCTGACTCTCCTACTCCAGTCGTCGTTTTTCTTTTTTGTTACTTCGAAAGTACCTGCTTCTGCTTCAGCCTCAGCCACTCAAATTTTCGATATTCCTTTTTATTTCTGTTCAAACGAATGACAGCTTCTTCTAGAAATACTAGCTATTCTTAGCATGATATTGAGAAATCTCATTGCTATTATTCAAACAAGCATGAAACGTACGCTCGAATATTCCTCCATAGGTCAAATCGGATTATGGAATTATTGGAATGATTGTTGGAGACTCAAATGATGGATATACAAGCATGCTAACTTATATGCTAAAACAACACACCTCATAACAATATACATTCTCCATTATGATTGTAAGAAGAGCAATGCTATTGGAACTTAATTTACTGACCTAATTTACTATGACATATGGATTGACTGTGAGTTCCATCAAACATTGGAACTTGGTGTTAATTCAATGGTTCCAATGAAGCCACGTCATTAGGTCCGCAAATTATGTCAAATTTTTAGGTCCAAATAGCATTTTCCTTGTAAGAAATACCTATGCATGTACATCACAACAAAGGAAATATGATGGTCAAATTATGCCACTCAACAATCAATTCATCAAAAACACACATCAGAACTATGTAAGCCAGCAAATCGTGTACTTCACAATACACAATCTAAGAGTAAGTTAGCCAGAAAGACTTTTCTCAACATCTAACTACAATTTCAAAAACATCATTTCTATCATGTTTCTCTATATTTTATATTGTTTCAAGACTGCCCAAGGCTTTATAAAATCACCTTTGGCCTTGTAGCCCATTAGAAAATTTTACATTTCAATCAAAATTCTGCAATCTGCATACCACTGTCATAGAAAGCAACTCTCCCTTAGTCCCTTACATCATTGTTCTCAACCTCAATAGTAACATTACTCCTTATTTGTAAATTCTTCTGTTTCAGAGTACCTTGCCACTCTTCACAAGCTTATGCAATCGCATATACATGAAAGTGCCACTTTTCACGAGCTAGCATTCATGTCTAAGCCATCTAAATACCCACATAGAAAAAGGGATAACAACCCAAATTTCATATAAAGCATCGCAACCTTTGTACAATGTTTTTTAAACAAAAGAAAAAGGACAATTCAAAAGTAACATAAAAACCCATCAAAGCCCCCAACAGAGCCCAAAACTTGGATAAACCCTCATCCCATGTGCACGAACATAATGTCATCAAGGCATATAATGTGCAGACATGAAACACACACCTAAAAAACCCAACACAGCTAATCTAAGGAAGAAAATAATGACAAAATTCACATTCCAATGCAATATTACAATTACCAATACCTCACACAGAAACATTTTAGCAATCAAAAATAGTATATTAAAACTCCTCCAGATTGAAAAAAAAAGAGAGAGAACAGAGTTACATTATCAAAATGAGACCCATGCTTAGGCAAAAGCCGCAAAACCAATACAGCCTTATCCATAGTATAGAAAGACCGAAAGAAAATGATATTAACTTATTCACCCATGTTAAAAACCTAACAAAAATCAAATCCAAGTTTGACTTACACCAACGACCTTGTTCAAAAATTAAGAATCCCTAGTTGAAACCAGCAAAGGATGTATGAGCATGTTTCAAACCCACATTCTGTATACTCCAAACAAACAAAAACAAGCAGTACACATATATAAAACACCCAAAAATATAAAAAATAAGGTAGTCTAAACACGCAAAAAAACAGACTAGGTACCATAATAACAAAATAATACAACCAAAAATATCGAAAAATCTATGTAATAATCTGAGAATAACACATAAACCCATCTAACTAAACTCAGTAGAACCAGCTCTAAACAAAAGTAACTCCAAAAACCATTAGGGTTTCAAACATAGACCACATAAACCAATTATTTCCAACGATGCATAGAAATACCTGAAGGTTGTGCTGTTTGATGTAAGCCCAAATCTCCTTGAGGGCTTGGGTGCGAGGAATCTCAGAGACTCCGCCGAGGAACGCTTGCATTTCCGGCGAGACTTGACGTGGCTTCATGATACCTCTCGGCTCGCGTTTCTTGGTCTCCGTTGCCGGCTTCGACGCAGCGGCCAAGGTTACCGTGCGCACAGAGCGCATGTTAACACGAGGCGAGTGAACAACAGGAGCAGCAAGCAAGAGAGACGATGACTTGGCCAACATCGTCGTTTCTCCGGCGAACAAGCCGGTGAAACCCCCAAAAGACATCGCAATTTGCATTTTTTGAACACACTCTTAATCTCTCTCTCTCTCTAAATATCTGTATGTATATATCTCTTTGTCTCTCCTACAATTGGGAGAGAAGTTTTGAGTGAGCAGATAAGAGTAGCTCAAAGGGGGGTTTTGGGCCAGTGTAAGACGCTGTACTGTACCCGCCTGAGGCCTCACTCTCCTAATTTTAACTTTTTCTCTCTATTATCCTTTGTAAAATATAGATTTTAATTTGAGTACCAAGTTTATAATTTTTGTGAATTAAAATAAAGAATAAAATGTTAACAAATTCAGTGTGACAATAATAACAATAATAATAATGCTAAGATGAAAGGTAAATTTCATTGATATTCTCTGGATTTAAGTTATATTTCATTAACACTCTATCTATTTTTTGAAATATCACTATACATTCCAATAGTTTATACTTTATATACATGTTTCACAATCTCTAGCATGATATGATAATTTATTCTCTTATAAATTATCAAATCTATCATTGACCATATAAAAAAAGTTTAAAGTAGTAGTAAATATTATTTTAATATTAATTTAATTAAATAAAATATTCCCTATAAAATAAATGTATCAAACAAAATGTTAATTTTAAAAAAATAATATTAATTTGATAAAACTAAATCAAAAAATCAAAAAATTGAATGTTAATTTTATAAAATTGAATGACTATTTGGTATTGATTTGGTGAAATTGAATGTTAATTTGAAATTTAATTAAAAAATTATGTTAGTGTGATAAATTGGATGTTAAATTGATGAAATTAAATATTAATTTAGAGTTAACCTGATGAAATTGAATATTCATTTAGTGTTAATTTTATAAAATTGAATATCGATTTGATAAGATTAAATATTAGTTGCTGAAATAAATGATAATTTTATAAAATTTAAGATTAATTTTCACGTTAATTTGGTAAAATTTTGTATTAATTTGATGAAATTTAATGTTGATTTTATATAATTGATAGTTAATTTGATGAAAATTAATGTAGTTTTGATAAAATTGAATGTTAATTTGATGTTAATTTATGAAATTAAATATTAATTTGATTTTAGTTTAATAAAATTGAATGTTAATTTGATGAATGTGAGTTAATTTGGCAAAATTTAATATTGATTTGGTACTAATTTGATGAAAGTGAATATTAATTTGGTATTAAATTGATAAAATTAAATATTGATTGAATAAAATTGAATATTAATCAGACAGAATTCAAGGGTAATTTGATGTTAATTTGATAAAATTATAAATTATTTTTGTATTAATTTTAGTAAGGGTAATTAAGTAAAATGAGAGTTATAATAAAAGTAATTTAATAAAATTACGTAATCTATTAAGGTACAAAAATTGACAAAGGTATGTAGTGATATTTCAAAAATTAGAGAGAGTGTCAATGAAATATGACTTAAATCTAAGGAGTGTCAATAAAATTTATCCTAAGATGAATATTCAATAATACTAGAAATGATAGAATTAAGAATGATATTATTCGCGAAAAAAATAGAGGTTGCGCATAAGGTTGATATTCGAGACAAACTATTTGAGCTCAGCTCATTTTGAGTGCAATCTGGGCTTGGATCATTTTTTATACGAACTGAATTTGAATAATCTTTTAGGTTCGTTTAAAACATTAAGTGTAACATGCTCGACTCAATTATTAATTCTAATTGCACTTATAAGAGATAAACTAAGGAGGGGAACCAATTTAGATGATTTAGACATATCCATAGATGATCTACTAGGTGAGAAACAATGAGATGATGAAATATTGAAGTAGTGAAAAATACATCATACTTATAGTTTAATAGAAATCATAGTATTGATAGAGTACAATAGCAAACGAGAAATCATGTAATTGACCCTAAAAATGTTAGGATAAGATTTCCTTGTGAACTTGAGGTACAATAAAAAAACAAAAGATTTCGATTTAAGAAATATATATATTAGTGATACTACTAAAGTTGATGAGTGCAAAATCAATTGGATTAGATCTAATTAATGGGATAGGTCCAAATTAGCTACAAAACAAGTCAAACTTAATTCCTAGATTTGGCCCAGCCCAAAGTTTAAAGAATCTAAAAAGATTAACTCGCGTGATGAGTAATTATCGAGATAATCACTGTCAAAGATCAAAACTATAACTAATTATGCCTATCCTCCCTGAAAAGCTAATAACCTACCCTCCACGACTACCGTCTTAAGACTTTGTGCCTATAAATTATAAACTCATTACACATGAAGGGACATTTTTCTACGCACCTTTTATACAACTATTTCTTTCGTAACTTAGAGCCTGTCCTTCTCTCTCTCTATCCCACATTTTATTTTATTAATAAAGTTTTATAGCCGTTGTCACCGCTTTCATAGGTTTGATCACCTCCCCCCAAATACTCATTATTTGCCTCGATTGTTTTATTAATTATTTCATTAATTTTTTTACATCGTATACTCGACTGTTAATTATATATAAATTCACTTTTGTATATTTCGACGAGTTCAAATATCAATTATTCTTTTGAATTTTAAATTAATCGTAACTCGACTTAATTTAAAAATAGAGCAATGTTATTGAAACCTAATTTATTGACCTAATTTACTGACCTAATTCATTATGACCTTTGAATTGACTGGAGGTTCCATTAAATATTGAAATTTGGTGTTAATCCGATGATTATAATAAAATTACGTAATTAAGTCAATAAATTATGTCAAAATTTTAAATTTAAATAACATTTTTTTTAAAAATATGTCTCTTAACCAACTAAAATGACTTAAATAGACACATTTGACCAGGATTCTTTATTACGATTGCTTTCATTTTCCTCTTTTCTTTTTTTCTGTTTACTGTCAGAGGCACGCATCTCGGCGAAACAGCACTAAAAGACAAAAAGTTTCCGTGATTATGATGACGTGGCATCAAATCTGAGTTGCTCACAAGAATCATCTAACTGCATGAAAAAAAAGTAGGACCCACGTCATAGACCGTCATCAGACGCTGCATAACTATTTGAGGGGTGTTCGAGATGACAATTTCCTATTATATCCGACCCCACTAAAAGTCAGACGTTAAAATTAGATAGAAATACAAAAGAATTTTTGATATTTTAATTAAATCGGATAGTAATATGTAATACTCATCAATTTTTGTATTCTTATTTTATTTTATTCGTAAAAAATATATTTAATTTTTTATATTTTTTTAATAATTATAAGATTATTTGTACGGTATAATTTATATTATAACACAGTTATTATTACAGATGTTTGAGTTGTGAAAATATGAATTTATTTTTTATGTATGTTATATGATTTTTGGTAAACTAGTGATCTATTGAAATATTTATGATTTTAATGTGTTTCATATAGTTTAAACTTAAAATAATTGTTATTGTATTTGTATAACAATTATGATGAATTGATATTTATACTTTCTTATATTTTATTGTAATTGTTGTTGTAGTTATTTTAGAATTTAGTATTATTGATTTATTGTGTTGTTAAATTGGTGTATTTTATTTAATTGAAGTATTAAAATAATCCAAAAATTAATAGATATAAAGGTATTTACTCGACTTCTTACCCGACTTCCTGCCCGATTTTAAGTTGGGTAGGATAAAAAAAATTATTCTGCAAAATATCATGTAGAAAGACAAAAAAATATATTTTCTTCCCGTAAGGTAGGGTGAACATCACTATTTAACATTATTTGTAATTTGTTTTAGGGTGTGTATTTCACATTTATACGGTAAAAAGATTTAAAAAAATTATGATGACGTGGCCAACATTTCTTTTGTTAGGGAGACTTAATAACTCTTTTTAATTTTTTATTGCACTAAAAAAATATCAATAGGGTAGTTTTTGAGAGAATAAGTAAGATAAATTAATAGAAAGGACATATTACAATATTTTTAATATATTTTTTGGGTGTAATATAAAAAATTTAATATTTAAGAATATAAAATAATATATGTTAAATTTTTCGGGATTCAAAATAAAATTTCCCTTTTGTTTTACGGATTGTGATCCGTTCTAATATATTTTGTTTTTAAATTTGTTTCTTGGTGAATCATTTACGAAGCATTTATGTGAGACTTTATTATATACAAATGAGTTATTCACTTATTAATAATGTATAAACCATCGAGAAAAAAATTTAAAAAATATATTAGAGAAAATTCAAATTCCTTGCACTTCTGAAGAGTAAAGGTACATGAATTTAAAAATTAAACTTGATAATTATAGTTATTGATTTCACCGTGGGTATCAGTATTTATTAGAACTTACTACCTATTAAATAATTATGATTATTAAATCTAATTTTTAAGTTTATGTAGCATTACTCACTTCTGATATGGAAAGTGTTAATGAAATCAAACAGCCGAATTTAAGTTTTGTTCAATTATGAGTTAAATTCATTGAAAAACATAATTATTTAATTTGAATTGAAATTATATTTATTTCTAAAAAATAAATCTTGAAATTTAGTTATCAATTGTAATATAATTATTTTTTTTACAATTTTGTTTAGAATTTTTTAGAAAAGAAAAAGATTAATGATACGAAATTATTCAGATATAAATTTGGGACTATTTATTTATAGTGATCGTTCAGTAATACAACAAGAATTATTTATAAATAACAATTTGAGTCATATGTTATCTACATTCAATTATATACAAAATAAACCTAATTAAAAGTTTGGTTAATTTAATTTATTTTATAATTTAAATAAACTTATATAAATTAAAACCAAATAAAAAATAAATCGATTAATCATTTAACAGTTCTAAATTGTGAACTTATATATATATATATATATATATTGGTTTTAACAGTTAAAAATGTGTGAACTATTTTATGGACACATTATTTCATCTACTCTCCTGTTGGATTTTAACAAATCATTCAAGACAAGACTAAATAATTTAATAATAAATTATTCGCCGCCTAAGCTAAAAATTATCAATATCAAATTGTAAGAGATCTTCTTTGTTACACCTTGAGGTCCTTTACCTGAATCATATGTATAACCTACCCTGGGTACCCATGTCCTATGTACACTTATACAGTCTCTTTACATCATTTATCAGCCGCAGTCTCTCTCTTCTCTTCTCTTCTCTTCCGCTGCTAGTGTGCGTAGGATAAGCAGAGAGAGTGTGTACGATAAGTTATTCTCGTGATGGATCTCAAGTCATTGTTTGGTATAGCTTTTGTCTGCATTGTCGTCGCCGGCGTAGGAGGCCAAGCTCCTGCAACATCTCCTACCTCAACTCCGGCAACACCGTCTCCTCATGCCACTCCTTCTGCTTCTCCACCTAGTACTACCGTCGCTTCTCCGCCAACCACCACTGCCACGTCACCAACAGTGTCTCCTCATACCACTCCTGCTTCTCCACCTAGTACTACCGTCGCTTCTCCGCCAACCACCACTGCCACGTCACCAACACCACCTCCAACGGCATCGCCATCTCCTACAGTTTCATCTCCACCACCGGCCAAAACTCCAACCGCCGCTCCGCAGACACCCACGCCACCAGCGCCGGTGGCCACTCCTGCTTCCTCTCCACCAGCTACTCCGCCAGTGAGCTCACCAACACCGGCTACTCCTCCTCCGGCACCAACCAGTCCTCCACCACCTCTGGTACCTTCACATCCACCGTCTGCTCCTTCACCTGCACCACTCGCTGCTCCTCCAGCCGAGGTTCCAGCTCTGGCACCTAGCAAGAAGCCAGTATCTCCGACGCCATCTCCATTGGCAACTAGTCCTCCTGCACCACCGACTGAGTCTCCGGCGCCGAGTCTCGGAACAATTTCACCTGCACCATCAGCGACTGATCGGGTACGCACGTGTATTTTTCCCTGTTTGCTTTGTTTGTCAATGGCTCTTCTTTAACGTGCACCTAACGTACAATGCGCGCCCGATCTGTGCTATTTAGTACAAATTAGAGCATTTTATCTAGTCAGTTGATTCTGAGAGTGATAGATCGCGAACCAGTTGAGTGAACATATGGCGTATGATAGTTTGTGTCTGTGTGGTTTTTCTAACGCGAACCTGTATCCATTGCTTTGTGAGGCCCCTTTTTTTACTGGGTGTTAAGCTCCCAAGGTGCTGTTCTCCTAATCTGGTGTGATGAGGCTCATGTGAGATTGGCAACCATGCAGAACTTGATTCGTCAAGAAAGTCAACTCTAAGGTTTGACCATTGACTTTTTGAACTTGACCAATCTGGTGGTTGAGGTGTGCCACTGATCTTGCTATGTTTCATAAGTTAAGTGTAGTGTACTGGATCAAGGATAAAACTGGAAACAAAGAAAAAACTTGCTTTAGAGGGTTTGGTGCCAGGTAGCAAACATAAATAGGGTTCAGAAATGCGTCGTGGTTCGGCAAAGTAAGATTCAATCACCTCAGAAATTCCTTTGGATTCAATCTGTTTAATTTCGAAGTGATCTATCTAGATAACTTTCACTTTTATGAGTTTATCCTCTTGTATTCTTTTCACACCTCGGTTAATTATGTCATTGATTATAAAATATTTTAGTTGATAATGAATAATCTCAATAAATTAGAATTTGACATTTAAAAGGTATGCTTTGATATTTAATTGTTGTATTTTTTCTAATTGATTATAATATTTTTATAATTTTGAATAATTTTCCAGTTGTAATTTACACCTTTTTGTGTCATAATTTAGGCTCTCAAAAAATTGTAACTTGATCTTTAAACGTTGTATTGTTATCGTGAAATAATTATTCATAGGATCCAAAGGAAGTGCTGGGCTTTGTGGGGGTGCCCTAGGTGCTAGCATAGCACCTTTGTCCTTCACTTTGTGATGATCACTATGATATGGCCAGCACAAGGGATGATAAATGGACAAATTGTATCATTAGGATCAACCATGGAACTGGAAATTGGAGGGGATGATTGTCAAAATCAGCAAAAACTTTTTTACTGGAGTTTACCCATTACTTCATTCAGGGTAACACTTCAATTAAACTTGGGTTAAACTTGTGTATCAAAACAACAATCCAAGAAAAGAGAGTTTTACTCTGACAGAACGGACATTGAAGGGTTTCAAAGGTCAAAAAGTAGAAGAATCTCTCCACCCTTTTCATTTGTCTTGCACAATTTTTCTGTTGGATTGCTTGTATTAATTTTAAGTCGTGGTCAATTGAAGTGGGATCCAGGGTAAGCCTTAACTAATTATGTTTGACAAACAATTACTGATGTGCCATCTATTTATTAGCTGCTCGGAAAACACAGATGATTTACGTAAGAGCCATGAACGATTTTTTCATCAATTGTCCACAAGAAATCAAAGTTTTTCAGTTTAATTTTAGCATAAATGATACTTGCAATTTCAAGTAGATTTTCCACAATTCTTTCTATTTTTTCTAAATGGCCTCTAAGAACATGTCAAAAGAGTTGTTACCCTGAATCAAATTCCTAAATCCATTCCTGATTTTGGTGGCTTGTGTCGTGCAATCTGTCACTATCCCTCTTTGGCCTTGTCACTCAACCAAGACCTGCTAAGTTGGGATTCACGGCTTCTAATCACTAATTGCCTTATAAGTACACAGTAGAAAGTTGCTTTTTGATGTTTACTTTTCACATTGTTAGAATTTCCTATGCTATTGAATGAGTGTTTTCAAATTCATGTGTAGTACACCTGGAAGGCCAAACAATGTCAAGAAGTGTAGACTAAACCATTTTGGACAACATGTGTAATTGATGTTAAAGTTATGTCAATTCTCGGACACATATCCCACATAATATGTTTCTCTACTAGTGTAATCAATTGTCTTTTGGATCCACAATATAATAAAAAAGAATTCAAGTACTATGAATGTGTTGTTTGAACATGCTAATTTGCTAATTGTACTCCTTCGAGATGGCTAGTGGTTGTCACTCGTGAGTTTGATTGATGCTAGTTGAACGGTTAGATGTAGATAGATTTAGAATTTCTAAATCCATATCCAATTGACCCGTATTGATGCTTTACTTTCCGAATAAACTCGGGATACTTCCTTTCAACAGGCAAGAAAGAGTATGACCCATATGAGATATAAATGAGTATATTTCTTTATTGGGTCTCTTAAGTAATGTGGTAGGTTTTTCCAAATAAGTAGAACATAACTTACATCTCCTATTTTATATCAAAAGATTGAATTCTACCCCCTGAAATTATACATGAAAAAACAAAAAAATCATGGGTAGAAAGTGGAGAGTTTGTTCAATATTCAGTATGAATGGCATTACTTGTATAAAGATTAGCAGGGGGAGCGCCCATAGAAACTGAGAGCCTAAAACAAAATCGGGTACACTTGCTCAGGAAACTATTGAAAAAAATACACTTTCAAGAAAGACATCTTTGTCTGTAAACTCCTCTAGCAATTTCTGAATTAGTTGGTGGATTATTCTAAGTATTGGACGCATGAACTTCAACAATCACAAGGGTATCTTAGACAGTGAATTTAGGGTTTTTGCTTTTTTTATAAAAAAAATCATGTCATGTCAGCATGGGAATTGGATATAGAGAAACATATATTGCCCATAATATGCTCAATTTCAGAGAGTAACGTTACATTAGTGACACTTATTGCTAAGTTTCAAGTTGAAGTAATTAAGGCTTCATGACTTGCAAAATATTTGATAGAGGGAATGAGATCTTACTTGGTATTGTTACCAATTCTCATATTGGCATGATGTGATTTTTTGAAAGGACTGTGTGACCTATACACGAGGCCATGATTGGGATGATTTTACCTTGATTTAAGCTTCCATTGTGGAATCAAGATTAATTACAACTGACTTCGGATTATTTCACAACAAATATTAGTATTTACACTTGTTGATACATTTGACATATCATTTTGCACCAGCTTCTGTTGTGGACTTGATTTCTGCTTTAAACTGATTACAAATGCCAAAAGCTAGGTTGTGTGTCACTTATTTAGCTTACTCATGGTAGCTAGATTTGCACTTGAAAATGATAGAAACAAGTTCCAGAAGAATCTTATAAAAGTTCATTCCTGCCTTCCACGAGGTCTATAAAATTCATTGAATCATCAATATTATCTTGGATTTCTACTATTTCATATTTATTAAAGTCATCCTTATTAGTCTTAATTCAATAGAGTGTCATTGACTGGAGCTCTTTCGTGTTCAAAAATTGTTTGATTATTTCAAGATTGTTATCTGTCTTACTATTACTAATTTCACATCTTAGATTTGTTAGCAAATTGTAACATCCAAGATGTTATGAGCAAAATGCAACTGTACTGACAAAGCTTACGGAATTATTCAACAAACACATTATATGAATTTGTCTTAATAATAACCATAATCTTAACTTCCATTTTTCAGAACTACTTGCATTTGTCAGCAAGATTTTGGAATCAAATTGTAACCACTCCTACATGAAGAATTATTAAATACTTTAGGAAACTGTAGTCAATTGTTCGCGTTATGGGGAAAACAGAGCTTTAGTACAGCACTGTCCAGTGTTTATTATTACTATACCGTAAAACTGTTAATGATGCTTGATTAGATATAGTAGCGCCAACAGTGAGAAGATACCATAATGTTCTGGGGATACTATTTTTGGATGTTATTCCCAGTCTTTTTTACCAAAACTGAAATGTTACTCCTATATCCTAATTAAATGGCAGGGAAAACCAGTTGAAACTATACCAACTCTTGATGTTAAAAATCTTAGGGAAGTCAATGTTATGTGTTCCCGAAATCGCAGTTGAAGTTTAAAGACATGGCAGGAACTTGTAAGTCTATGTACTATATACCCAATATTAGTTTTGAAGAGTAAGAAAATGGTAGCCTGGCTTTCTGGAAATAAAATGATAGCCAGGGTTGCAATTCTATCTGAAATGATGTATGGTATCCACCAAAAAGGGGTAAGAGTACAATTTCCTATGTAAAATTCTCGCCTTGTGCTTGGTTTGCTGGCCAAGATAAGGATAATTAAGTTCAACTCATGCTGCAATGGTCATCTTACCAAGTAAATATTTCCTCCAACGTTATACCATGCTCTCATTCATCATGTGATATTACAATCTAATACCGAGATACCATGGCTGCATGGTTTACCTTATATATCGCACATCCACCAGCATAATTCAGCAACCATTACATGTATATATATGGATGGGGTATATAATGCAAATGTGGTTTCTTATTAATGAGTCGTGATAACATGTGTGAACAATGATGTTATGTTGCTGTTCTAAAGAATATTTGTTCAGTCTTATCAGTGAAGTTTGTAACATTAAACTATTACAGTACCAATTTTGTACTCTTATCAATCTGTGATCTTAAATATTATCACAAATCATGAAGGTTTTGAGAATTTTTGGATTGTTCTCACTAAAGTTGAAACTTTTACATTGCAGAGTGGAGTAGAGAAGATGTGGAACATGGAGAAGATGGCTGGAAGTTTGGTATTTGGGTGGACTCTCCTTTGTTTTCTGCTTTAGATTGATGTCTCTCCACACTTTTTATTTTTTGCCTCTATATATTACTGGCCATCATTTTAACCCATATCTTCGTGATACTCTGTTTGGGCATGTAGTTGGATCATATATTTAGCTGGATTCGGATTGAGGGTTATTATTTAGAATGGGATTGTTCCTCTCTCTCTCTCCATAGCCTACCATGTGGTCTGCGTTGGGCATGGGTTTCCAGCCCAAAAGGCGCACCTAGTTGCTAGAGTGATCGCTCCCTTGTATGGTTTAGGACTCCCTCAACTGATGTGGAATTCGTTCAATACCTCAATAGTCCGCAATTACAATAATCTTACAGGGATGTGGCATGTTAGAAGACCAATGGTTGTATGTTTCACGAGTTGATTTCGGGCAAGTTAGGGTTGAAATTGCGTTGTTCAATTTGGGCTCAACAAATAATAATGTTAAATTAGGTATGTGGTTATGCACAATATTTGACTATTACATATGCCTACATGATCCACTAAGATGAAATAGATGATTTATTAAGGGTGTAAATGTGAGTCTTCTTTATATAGGGGAGAGGTTATTTGAGTTGTTTATTTGATGTGTGATAATAATTGTCTTTCTTTTGCTTGTTTTACTTATCCTATATCAGGTGTGTAAACTTCTTTTCTCGTCTATAGTCTTTATAAATTATTTTTCACTCTCCCTTTAAATAATAATAATTATAAAATATATATTTGTATTTTATTGTTGTATTGTTTATATAAATATAATACATGAATTTGGGTTGAACTCGGGGTTGGGTTTTGGTCGAGATTGATTTCATCATTTCGGGTTAACCCTGTGTATCCGAGTTCTTAACTAAAATTTTTTGACCCTAACTCTAATCTTAACCCTAAAAATTTCAGCCCTAGCCTAGCACTATTTTTTTTGAGATGGGTTCAGATTGGTCCGTCTAAGTTGTACCCCTAATCTATGGGTTAGATTGATCTACTACGTACAACCTCGTGACAGTCTTAATGCCAATCTAGTACGACCATCGACCCTATTTTTTGTACAATTGAGGGCTTTTTGATTAATTTGTAATTAGTAACATGTGATATGTGAACAAAGCAAACTCAAGTTTGGACTGGATAACTATTTTTCCATTCTCACTCAGGATTACATTGGATAGCATTCTTGACCCTCATTTAATTGTGTTTTATGTGCTTATATAAAATTAGCTTAAATTACCTAATTCAATCTCCTCTTCTACAATACGGGAATCAAACTAAATGGGGCCATCCTAGCCCATTAACTGTTCAAGGGCTGTCCTGTTAGCCCAATGGATCAATGGGTCATGGATTGGGCCAAATCATCAAGTGATAAACCCAATAACAAATTAAATGGGGCTAGTTTTTGGCTCACTAACCCAAAACTAGCTTCGTTTGATTGAGTCCCATGTCCTTCTCTGTTTGCCCAAAAAACTTCCAAAATTAAATTCAAGTCAACTTTTAAAACCCATCAAGGCCATGCCCCCAATAAATAGCGCATTAAGACCCAATTTGATTGGCATGATAGACAACCCAAAAGTCAGAATTTTTAGATGGGCTAGCCCCAACCCACCGTTGGTCGTTAACCAACCCGCAAGTGAAATAAATATTAGATGTAAATCATCTAATAAGAAAATAACAAAAATAAATAAATAAGCTTCACTTCTTATCATGGAGGTAATTATAAGTTTTTAATGGGGCCCATTTATAAATTTGTTTACTAGTGGATGATTATACGATTATACTATTGATGTGATACATCAATTACATCTAATATTTTTTTCCCACGGGTGAGGCCCAAGCTCAGGCCTCGATACAAACTAGTAGATCCACCATTGTACCCTGTGGACTCACACGTGCACCTGCATAAATATGCGTTTCTAAATTTCATGCCCTATGGTGTTGGATGTAGTAAATGTTGGTAGGTCAATGCTTGCTTCAATCTTTACCTGTTTATAGGCTAAGGTACCAATGCGTGTGAAAGCCTGAAAGGGACCAGGCACACTCATAAATGTGCACCTATTCCACAGCCAAGCTTCCCTTGCCGACAGTTTTTTTGGTTAATAATTTTTGATTCAGTTGGTAAAAATTTAAATTTATTTCGTTTAATACTTGAATTCGAGTGCCTATAATTACAACAACTTGTTGAGTTAAACTTATTCTTTAGCGTTTAAAGTACGTGGTGAAACCTTATATTTAGCCCCGACGTAAGTGCGGTGGGGTCTTTTGTTGGGTTTCTTTTGTGAAATCCAGTTTGTGTGTGATCCGGATGATAACTCGACCCGAAATAATGTTGCGTGATTTTTAATGAAAATTTTCTGAAACTTAGTTTATGGAGCGGAGGTTTGGACCTGTTTTGTACCCCTGTATGCAGGACATATATAAACTATTATTCTATGATTAGGGTTTTGGATTGATTCTGTACGGCCACTATCCCTCTGTATTCTTTCTTGTGAATAGTGAAATCTTTGTTGCTTCGTGAATGTAAGTAAATTGCCGAATCATATAAATTTTATGTCGTGTGATTGTTTAAATTACATTTTTATCATTTTTTTTTTATTAATTTCACTTTATTGTCATCGTTTAATTTCATAACATCCTTTATAGTTCACAAATAGTTATGTAAGACTGATGAACAAATATTCCTTACCGAATATGTGGAGCGATTCTTTTACATATTCATTTTCAGCGCAAAAAAAAAAAATGGCAGTTAAAGTTAAACTTTATACGGCTAATATAATTGAAACTCAGAGTCTACGAGCATACGTCTTGCTATTTGTTGAACAAGTAAACCGCCATGTACAATTTATTGCTGACAATTGTATATAGTTTAATTTCCAAATCTTACATGCACTTCGAAAATGTTGGACAGTGTCAAGCAAATTAGGAACATGTCTTTGAACTCTGCTACATTTCAACAAATCAGATGAAGGATCAAAAAGTCAATGAAGGTACCAAGAAAACTAATCGCATATTCCCCATATGGAAGATTCTATGTCTTGGTCAATTAAATTTAGTTTATCAAGAGCTTTGCTGGCTTCTATAGTCTTGCTGAGTTTGTGAGACCTATTACAAGGATAATCATCTTGTGTTTAATAATATCAAAAAAAGATACATATGCATTCAATCCACTACTTTCAATTAGCTTTGAAAATTGTGTCAAATAAAGTGAGTTCGTGTAAGATTTTATTAAGTTCATGTCAAAAATCACTTCACTCATACTCGATTCGTTTATTAATTCGTGTCTAACGAGTCACGTATCGGGTTTATGATGTGCATGAATCGTATATAATTAATTTATAAACGAGTCGTGTCGTGTGATTTTTTTAATTGACTTCACTCATATTCGATTCGTTTATTAATCGTGTCGTGTCGAATTCACTCATTTATAAAATGATTATTTACAAAAACTTGAACCTTTTAATTTTGTGTTGTATTTGTATTGTATTGATGAATGGTGTCATATTTTAACACCCTTACTTTCAATACCTTCAAGAATAATCATTTATGGTTGATAATATCTAAGGTTATTTATGTATTCAATCCACTACTTTCAATACCCCGGATTAACTACATTGATCTAAACTAAATGAGGGAATTTTAGAATCTACCCTCAAGTTTGATCGAGATGTTCATGAAAGTAGGGCTCCTAAGACATGATGCTAGAGATGATGATGTCATTATCAAATAGTACAACTTCAATAATAATTTCTAAGGCAACACTAGAATCTTAAACAGCCATAGCAGGAAAGAAGAAGGAAGATGGGTTTAATGATAAAATAAACAAAATCATATGCTTAAACCCCCCCCCCCCCCCCCCCTCCCCCCATCTTCCCTCCAAAAAAAAAAAAAAACTATTAGAAACCCATGAAAATTTTAAGGGAAAAAAATTAATAATTGAATAATTAGGGTTTCGATTTCAACCCCCACAATGGGTCCCTACTTCCTAGGCAACTAAGACCGACCATGCCATCAAACCCATTTGATCTTTGGCTTACTACCTTAGTGGGTCTCACTCATTAAATGATACTGATATACCCAAGCATCATGGTAACTGCACAATTTCATTGTCAGAGGAAATTATTTTTTTCTTTTCAAGGCATATGAATGAATGTGAGTTGATTCAGTGGTTTAGATCCTCCCACACTGTTGGATTCTTGGGGTATTGAATAGTGACGACCACTATGATTGAACGGTTCTCATCGATGAGGTGTACTTTATTATTTGTGATTTTTTTGGTTAGTTATTATTGATGTGAGAAGCAGGTAAGAATGATTAGTATTAATAATCGAGTTGAGTTCGTGTCAAGTTTATTGATCTCATTTCTTTAAACGAATTTAAAAAATTATTTAAATTCGATTTACTTAAAAAATGAGTCGAGTTTAAACTGAATTTAAAACGAGCTGAACTCGAGTATCTCAATTAATTTATATATAAATGAGTCGAGATTTACGAGTTCGAGTCGAGTTTTTTAAACTCATTTTCTAAATAAATTTAAAAAATTGTTCAAAGTTGATTTGTTTAGAACACGAGTTGAACTTAAGCTCAAATTTGAATAACTCGGCTCAATTATTAACTCTAAAAATGACAAGAGGTGAAGGAGTTGCTCAATGGTAAGGACTTACTCTTGTTCATCAATGGTTACGGATTTTAATATCATACCCTCTCAAAAAAAAAACAAAAGGGTTGGCTCAATGGTTTGGTCAAGCTAACATCTAAAAGAGGAGGTCAATTTTGTTTTCATCTATGTTAGCTTATTTGCAAATTTATATGCTCGATGGTCGCAAAAAGAAATCTAATTTACTTGATGTACATAATTTACGCATCCAAAATTTGTGTATTATAACTCCCCAAGTTTCAATACCTTATGATAGAGTGATTGCTTATCTAACTTATGCAGGTGTGAACTCTTTGGGGATTTTGTTGTTAAGGTTGGTAACGCCATTAACTCTACACTCCACACTCCCAACGTGAGACTCTTCAGTCACATCGGCCAATCAAAAATAATAAACCCCTAAAGTCTTATTCATACTAATGTATGAGTGTACCTCGTCGAAAAAATATTTAATGCAACGGTAATACCATGTCAACAATATTGACATGTTGAACTCTAATTAAATAGTTATTGACTTACATACAAAAAGAATGAGTAATTATTTACTTACATAAAAAATTGGTTATTAATTTTTAAATAATATATTTATTTAATTATTTTAAGATTATTAGTTTATAATACTATATCAGTATTATCATTGTTGAAATGAACATTTTTTTGGTACCTCATCCCAACAATGTAATAATGCCTGTCCTCATCAAGGGGAAAATTGACCATTCAGGGACACCATCATGAGGAGGAAGTTTCCCTTCTCCCCACAACAGCTAAGATTATTATTGTGCCAAAATGAAATTGAAAACACCATTGTTCTGGTGGGGTAAAGAGGATGGGAGACAATGCCTGTAAAAGCAGGTATTTGAAAGAGAAAACAAAGCACCACCTGAGGAAGGTGAAGAGAACAGAAAAAGATGAGAGATTGATGATGAGGAGGAAATCACATGGGTTTGGCAAAGACTTTTACCCCGTGCTTTGGTGTAATGATATTTCTCAGACATGTTTTGCATCAAAAGATGCAAAACCCACTTCCAACCTAGCTCCCAACAAGACCACCTTATACTAAATCAATGAATAGAAATGGGTCCATTGATCAGACAAAGAATAACAAATGAGTCCACAAGAATTCCGTCATTGCGTGTGTACGCAAATCTACTCTACATGTGAAGAAACTATTTTTATATCTCCAATCTGTAATGTCCTGCTTACAATGAGACTATCCCACCACTGCACCAAAGCTTGCCATAAATCCAGTGGTCAGAAAGATTTAGAAAAGATTATCTAGATGCTCTTCAGCAGGCTAAGAAAGATATAATCAATGGAGAGCAGAAAATTATACATTAGACATACCAGGATTCAAGCAACAGAAATGTACATTCCAAAACACTAAATATATTAGACAACATCTGCTCCAAGGCTCAGCAAAAATTTCCACATAAAATTAAAGTGAATAAAAAAATCTGTTCTCAGGCATTCAGCATATAGTGGATCACAAAGGTACTGCTTTCACATTTAAGGCGAAGAAATGATACAATTCAAAGAGGCCAAAAAAGAAAAGGAAGAAAGAAAGATGCTTATCAGTAATATTCATAAGCATTAAATGTCTGATGGACTCAATGTTTCTGTTTACATGTTTTCTTAGCAGCAATGACAAGATGCCACACTAAAATCCAGAAATCCATATGAGACACATCTTGGTTCTAACACATACACCAAGAAACCAATTTATCATCAATAAAACAACCACACAACAAAACTGACACACAATAACTTAGCAAAATTAAAGAACTGAGACACTAAAGTCAAACCCTTGTAGCAGTATTCTTCTCACTGCCACAGCCGTATATTAGGCAACAGAATTAGTAGAATCACCTTAAAAGGTCGATGGTTCTGCTATCAAAGCTTCACCACCTTCCTCCTTTCATGGAAGGTAAACTAAAAACTAAACCTCCATTTGCTTCATCCCTTACTGGAAAAAACAAGCTCCAACTCCATAGCTGGATTCTGCACGGAGAGTATCTTCATCCAGGCCCAGAGAGGATCTGTGAATGATTATGCTCTATTTACAGATTAACAGAGGCATACCCAACTTCTAAAATTCCTCAATCAACTTAACTCCTAATTTGTGAATCATAATGTGTTAGTCGATTAGAAACTACCTAATCATATAAACATTTTGCCCTAATTTGATCCTACTGTTTGTCAGACTTTGACCTTCCAAACCACATTATCCATGCTGTTCTCATGTGATTTCTCCAGCGCTGCAATCTTTGCCCGATGAGCTGCAAGAGAAATTGCACTCTTTGCCCTTTCATCTTGAGGAAGTTCACAGGCTTCACTGATGGATCCAGATCTCAAGTCGGCTGGGGGAATAAAACAGTCTAGTGAGAGGCCTGGAACGTTGAATGCAACTTCTTCAATTGTCCAGGCTTCTTCCATCCTAGTTTTGGTATGGCTCATAGCCATCTCGCCAAACCTGAAAAGGGTCACCACAGAACGGCCAGAGTGGGCAATCATGATCCCTTCAACAGGCCTGTAGTCGTCTAGGAAAGAATTGATGGTCGTCTCCCAGTAAACTGCATCGCCACCATTGGATTGAATGCGGGTAAGATGGGAATCCTCCATGTGAACAAGAAGTCCTGTCTTTTGGCTGAAGTAGCCAAACAAGACATGCCTTATGATCTCCGCTGGGCCTTCACTCCTAGCCTTCAATGTCTGAGGGTCAGCACAAAGCTTAAGAATGAAGCAATCCTCTCCATTAATCTTCTTCTCACCGATGCACCTGGCATCGGCAAACATACTGGCAGTGGTTCTCGGATCAAGGCCCTACATTTAGATTGGATTAGAGAACTGAAAGAATAGGAACAATCTGAAACAAAGCAAATGAATGGGAATAGATCTTCACCTGAAGGGCGCGACGTAAAGGTCTAACAGGCCCTTTTGCAGTGTGGGCACCAAGCCAAGGAGTGTGCCTCCAGACAAGTTTCCCATTGCAGCCTGCATGAACCTTACTTCCACCAACTGCCAACTCAACATACCACATGTCAGGATTCATCTGCCAGAGGACAAATCCACCTGACTCAGCAGCTCTGGCAGCATTCTTGTTCTTCACAACCCTTGTAGCAGTTTCAAACTCGCAAGCCAACATCTTCACCTTCCCCATAGCATAAGCATTTCTAATGGAGTTCTGGAGCTTTTGCCCACCAGATGCTGCTGTATATTGCTGCAATATGTACTGAGCAGATGACGTCTCCTGCAATATTACAATCCAGTAGAGGACTAACTTTAGCATTTTACTAACTGTTTGAACTATTTAAAAAAAAAAGAAACTAAAATTACAACATGATGGCAGTTCTTAGTTCTGGGTCAGCTAGTTCAGAAAACACTCAGCTCAACTATACCAGCATTCAACATCCCAATCATAGATTAAAAATTAAGCTGCAGTCCTTTGTTTTTTGAAATCCCAAACCTCTAAACGAAGCTTATTACAAACTAAAATGGTTTCTGAACTTCGTTTTCATCCAAGCTTGCTTAGCAATAGAACATAGGATTAAAACCTAAAAGTTGAATGATTTCATGCATCCATTACGCCCCAAAAGAGGGTTAAAAACAACTAATATCATAAAAAAATAGTAACTCTTTTACATAATGATTTTGGCCAATTTAAAGCACAACTCCCACATAAATCATTGGATGTAAACTAAATCTAATCTGCCAAAAACTCATTCAAATGAAACAGTTCTAAAAAAACAGAATGAAGAAAATGCATGAATAGACAAGATCAGAACAACAATGAACTTCAGTGAAGGTGAGAAACATACACAGATTCATACAAATTTTGTATGTACGTATATATATAGTGAGAGAGAGAGAGAGAGAGAGAGAGAGTTACTATGGGAGTATCCTTGATGCTGAGATGAGGCAAGGGGTCAGTGGTATTAACGTGCACCGGGGATAAGGGGGCACCCATAACACCAAGCAACAGCCTCAGATCAGACCTCTTGAACCCATTGGAAGCCACCGATGGAGCCCTTGACAGCTGCCCCTTCATCCACTGCCCCAAACCCGATCCGACCCGCTTCGACTCCCCAATTTCTCCCCCATTCGGATCCGGACCCTCCATCAACGGCGTTAACGTCTCCCCCAGCGGCCTCAGACTCCCAGATCTCGCAATCAGCGCCTCAGGATTCGCCACGTAGTGATGACTGTTCTTCTTCCTCCTGAGCAGGCCCGACATCGGCGACCCGCTCCGAGCTGGACTCTTCGCTCGTGACCTCGCCGGCGATAAACCTCGAACAACCTCATCTTTAAGAGCAGAAAAGAACCCTTGTTTTCTCTCCATTTCTTCTCAAACCTTAGCTTGTATTAATATCAATGTGTATCAACAATCGATTACTTAGATATAGACAGAGAATGAAAATGAATGTGATTGATTTCACGTCATAGATGGGTCTTCCAAGAGATGTACAAAGCAAAGGAGTTGATGATAAACCCTAATTAGATCAAAATGTAGGAAAATGGACTGATAACAGAGAATTTTTATGGTTGTAGATAGATATTGTTGGTGTTTCAGAGAGAGAGAGAGAGAGAGAGCAACACTGGGGGACTGGTTCGAGGAAAACGTTTGGAAGAAAGTGGAGGGCTTTGGAGAGAGAAAAAGAGTGATGTTTATGATGTTTATCGAGAGAGAGAGAGAGAGAGAGAGAGAGAGAGAGAGAGAGTGCAGTGGGGAGAGAGAAAGTGTGTGCTGCTGCTCTATGCTGGGACTAGTGGGTATCTAACGTGCGAAACGAGAGCGTGAAAAATGAGCACTTGGTGCCCTAAGCAGTCTAGGGTAAATAATAATTTTGAGATGACAATAAAGATCCACAAGGTAAAATAAAACAAAATAATAATAAAAATTAGGATTAATTATAAAATACCCCATTCAAGTTTGGGTCATGTTACAATTAACTTCTTCTAGTTTTAATTTAAACAAATTACCCCTAAAAGTTTGAAAATTTTCAATTACCTAACAAAAAAAAAGGGTAATGTGAAATTCAGCCTAATTTCAGGGATGTTTTGTATTTAATATTAATTCTTTTTTATTTTTAAAAAGTGCGAATGATATTTTGTACTTTGAAAAAAATTTCAAAATTTTAACTTACACCTTAAACAATTACAATTCTTAAATTGCACTCTCAATCTTGTAAAAAACTGGCAATGTGGTACGTTTTAATACAATATACTTAAAATTAAGTAATATATAAATAATTAAGAATAGAAACACAGAAAAATTATTGAACAAAGATCAAAAAATTTATTATTTTGAACTAGATTATGAATTTTTTTATCTGAATGAGAGTACAATCCAAAAATTAAAAAAAAAAAATAACGTGCAAAATATCATTTATTTTTGAAGAATTACGGTCATTTAGCCGGACATTTTAGGAGACAAAAATGTATCCAACATTTGTACCAAAAACTCATGAGTAAATGTTATTCGAATTTAAAATTTTAATTTAATTTATTAATTTAATGATATATCAGGTGATAAAATCTCAATGAATAAATTCAAATGTGACAGTCTTCCTAACAATATTGGACCATGGTGCTGCCACAATATTGTATTATCCAGCATTAAAAAGTGGGGACCCACTTATATACAAATATTAAGTGATCATCTTATATCTGTTAAAAAAGACATGAGCCGGTCCCCATGGCTTTGAGCCCAAGTTGTGATTAAATTTTTGAATTCAAGTTTCACAATTCGGGTTGAAATCGATTTTTTTATTAATCAAAATCTAATAGAATTAAAAATAAGTTTCAATTGTGTTCAAAACCAAAATTGAACCAAAATTCTATAACTCCTAGTAATCAAAGCTAATTAGAAAATAGAAAAACACATTTCACATCTGCAACATGCTTAAAACATCAATAACAATAGGTAAGGAGTGCAGTGCATATTCCCTAACATTTTATATGTGTGTTTGTGTAATTTTTATTTTATTTTTTTTGGAATTTTGGGTTAAATTCGGATTGAAAACTACTTTCAACCCGATTTTATAATCTTATACAGTCAGATGAACTTACATTCAAGACATATGAATTCATACATCATCTCTTGCTCGACTGCTATGTGAATTTAGCAACTCAAACAAGAAGAGATGAGTTTTGTTTTGGTGTATTGTTTCGGTCACCTAAGAAATATAAACATTTCGATGTATTTCGGAAAACGTTTCGACAACAGAATAAAAAATAAAAATAAAAAAATTAATTCTTAATTCTTTTTAAAATATTAGTTGAAATATATCAAAGTATCTTATATTTTATCCTAAAAAAAAATTCAAATAATTAGAAAAGAATAAGATAATGTTCATCATTGTCGATGTTGGGTGGAATGGTTGTGTCCTCTTCTAGGTGGGCTCAATACTCTGTTTAAGGAACTTTTAACGTTAAAAGTGATCAGTATGGTCTGGCCTCGTGTGAAATGCCAAAAGCTCCCGGTGTTTAAGGGCCCAAACAACGCGATTTTAATTAGGTTGTGATTGGATTATGGTGGTGGTTACAGCTAAAGTGTATCATATTCCAATGACGTAAACACCCAAAAGTTACAAAAACAAAACTCTTCTTTTCATCTCTTACTATTACTTTTAATCTTCCCTGAAAAGGACAATCTACGCTTGTAGCTAGAGAGGCAAACTTGTTATCATTCTTTGATGGAATGCGAAGATCATAGGTTTGAAACTTGATTGGTAAATTTTTTTCAAAGGTAGGTATTTATTTAATGCATTAATATTTTAAAATTTTCAATTACACGTGTTTTATGAAATTGAACGTTTGATTCTTATAAGTTGTTTATGTGAATATGAGCTAAGAGAGAGAATTTTGAACTGACTTTGACAATGAATCGTTTTATGTTACATTTTTATTATATCTTAATTTGCTTAATTTATTTAGAGAATTTTTTGTAGTAATATATAATTGTATTCATGTTATAATGAATTCATATTGTTTAAAAGGGAGAATTAGTGCACGCTATCATACCATTTTTTTTTAAAAAAAAAATTAAGATAAAAGAAAAAGAAGAAAGAGAAGAGATCGAGGTTGAAACTCACAATCATTATGGAAGGCAGTAAGCCTTTATCAACGCATGGAGTTCTACTCATTTCAGGGTCAAAAGAGAGTTAAATGTATTCGACTTCTGCGCATGGTAAATTTCACATAATAAATGAAAAAACAACTCTTTCCCATTAGTAAACTCGAGTTTGTTGAGAAAGTCGAAGATCCCGTGATAGAGGAAGAGCAAATACGGCCAAAAAGGCCTAAGGAGTGGTGATGAATTACTTCAGGGGCTGTCCGATCGATTCCGACGAGTCATAGGCAATTCTTGACACACAGAAAGCAAGTCAGAGGGGCGTCGGAGTGTTTTCCGACATATTTCCTCTGACGGTCAAGTTAGTTCTTTGAGAGAGGAAAATAAGAAAACACTGTATTGTGTTCTTGAAAAGTTATTTTGCGTACATTTGCTTTATATTTTTGAGAGCTATTTATACCTTCAAAGACTCATCATTACTGATGATTTAAACAGTAGGTAGTGCACAGAGATAGGGCAGTGCACCTTCTATTTTTGCATGGGAGAGGTCCCATTATTAATTACTCGGGCTCTCGAGCATTAAGTGCTCTTTCTTCGATGTAGAGGCATTAAATGCTCGGGCCTTGGAGCATTAAATGCTCCTTATCCTCGGTGTCTCAAGTCATCACAACACATCTCATCATTGAGATTTTATTAAATACTTGCTTGAGATTGTCGTATGTTAGCAGGGGCATTTTTGTCCATTTGTCTCTCATCTTGTACTTTATGCCACATGTCCAACTCCTCTTGGTTGAGTGTCTTATTCATTCTATCATTCTGACTTCATTGGGGAGAGCACCCTCATGATTTCTAATCTAGTTTTGAGACTGACCAGCCGTCAAGCAATAGCCTCCTTAGAAGCCGAAGACACGTGGCCAAACCAGAGCTTCATCAAGTGCCTTTAGTGCCGAGGACACATGGCTGCCTCAGAATGGAGGTACCCTCGGCGTCGAGAACACGTGTTTGATATAAAACAAGGTGTACTCCGGCGTCGAGTGCAGGTCCATGTCAAAGCAACGGGGTTCCTTCAGAGCTAAGGACACGTGACTTCATCTGAAAAAGACATGCCTTGGTATCGAGAACACGTGTTTTTATCAGAATGAAAGATGTGCCCTCGATGCTGAGGACAAGTGTCGATGATCCATTCCTTTCCCAAAAATATCCTATCAACTTCGTACTTATATATACTCAGACCGGCTTCCTGATTTAAACATTTACCAATGTTTAGACACATATCTTATCCTTTATTTTTTAATGTGATAGATCAACTAGACTAAATTGAGCATTAATCATGAAAAATTCGTGTCAAATTAGTAGAGTGTAGAATTGAATTAATTTAAAATATTGGATCAATAAGTTTCATTATTGATCAATATTGTAAATCGAATATATGTCGGTCATTAAATTAATAGTGAATCATAATATTAAATTATGTCACACCGTCAACCAGACGAAATTAGTGGATTTTGTAAATAATTTGATTGAAATAATGTATTGTGGTTAATTTTTACTCAACGATCTTTTTTCCCTACAGAAATTAAAAAAAAAAAAGACAGTTAAGTGACATATCTCATGGGGACCATAAAATAAAACAAGGGCCATGTTAGAAAAGAAATCTCCATGACAAGGAAAGAAAATAATAGAGGGATCTTACATCATCTGACACATGGAAGACATTTTATCATCGATAATATTTTTTAGATTTAATTTATTAACTTAATTTATCACAATTATTAGATTGATTACATATTTTAACAAATACTAAGGGTAATCCGTAAAAACAAAATACAATGTGAATGATTTTGAGAGAGATGTTGATAATCGTTGTATGAGTTTATTTAAAACCGTCGGATGAACTTATTGAAACCTGTCTTGTTTTATATTATAATTATAAATTAGAGTTCATTGTCAATCTAATAATTATTAATGATAATTTGATAGTTATGAATAATTAAGGTGATGTTTGGTAACCACCCGTTTCTATTTTTTTTTCGTTTTTGTTTTCATTTTATGGCTACAAAAAAAATAAAAATATGTTTGGTGAATGTTTTTATTTTTTTTAATTGTTCTGTTTTAAAAACAAGGCTAAAATATAGAAACATCCAAAAGGATATTTTTGGAAACATTAAAAAAAAACACGTGTGAGTCATTTTAATGAGGTCTGGGTTTCGATCCTTCTTAATAACAAAATATGAATTTTTTTGCTTGAGTATATAAAAGGACATCTCTCTCTTTCACCTCTCATATCTCTGTCGTCTCTCTCTCTCTGCTAAAGACGAAACTGAAGTTAGACGAAGAAAAGCCAAAGCAGAAGGATCTAGACGTCATCTCCCCCCTCTCCCTCTATTGTTCTCACTCTCTCTCTCAACCTTCTTTTTTTTTTTTTTTTTGTGGTGGTGATGAATTTTGGGAAGTAGTGGTGGGTTTCGCTAGTGGTGATGATGTTGGTTGGTGGTGGTGGGTTTTCGGGGATGGGGGTGAGTTGGATGGCTGTGAATTTCGGAGATGGGGTGGGGGTGTGTGGCTGTGGGTTTCGATGTGTGCATCCGA